AACGTCGCATTACTTAGAACGCACTACGACACCCTTACCAAGAAATTTCATGAAAGCCAAGCTAAAAGCCACAAAGCAGCCACCAAAATCTGTGACTATGGTTAGAATGACCTGTCCAATTTAAACAGACCTCTGGCCAAGCTGAATATTTATAACATGTAATCTGATTTTTATTGGATCTTCTGTATTGAATCTATAGTTAATGCTCATTGTATATTAATGTATATTCTTGCATTATATTGTCATATTACTGTGAATTTGCTCCATGTGTCAACTTGCTCCTATTGCATCTTAATTCTTTACTAGCAGCACTAAAACTTTTCGTGCTTGCCAATGTGTTAACCCCTTTTATTTCAGGCTCTTGCACCTAGCTCAAACGGCATAGCTAAACAGTTTATAGATATCAAAAACTTTTAAAAAAAAAGCGCTTCAAATATTTAAATCGTTATCACTATGCTTTAATACTTATTATAACTTTATTCTTGCTCTTTACAATGGCAGCTAAAAGGAGGGGATGCATTATTATTCGTCCTTTAAGTGAAACCATTCCAAACTTTCTAGTCTTTTAAAAGTTAATAAATCAGATAGCTTTAAAAGTCTGTCCAATTATAGAAAACTTTTTCTTAGTAGTTTTTTCTACAGAATAAAACTTAAATTGAGATTTTTAGAAAAGCAATCTTTAAACCACAAATAACGGAATTTTATATCAAGCATATTAAATCAAATATTGCAAATTATAATTAGGTGATGTGATTCAATGGCTTTAAAGTAGAAGTTTTTTTAATAAAAATTTTTAAAAATCAGTCATAATAATATAATAATCACAATTAATACACATATTAAAATACAGGATGTTTTTAATATTACACGTAGAGATGGATGAAAATATTTTACAAGCTTCTGTCTACTGATGTTGTTCAGACATTAAAATTTTTAAAGTTAGTAATCTCATCGAGGCCAGAAACATTCTTAAAGATACCATGGCATGACAAATTGCATAGCAAAGTGGGATGTATGCTGCATTATATGAAAAAATGTCAAAAAGTTATAAAAACAAGTTCAATTTATTATTAAAAATTTCAAAAAAATTAAACCAATATAAAGTGCAAAACCATCATAAAAATAAAAGAAAGAATTCTGTTCTGTCACATAATATAAAATGTGAGAAACGTATTTTTATGAGTTGCAATAAAGTTGCACATGTTTATAAAAATCAACGACTGGATGAGCTAAAAGATTAAATGTATTTTATTCTGTCACTAGATATATTTTTTAAAGAAACTGATGAATTAGTATTCTCGGTGTTAAAAAATGTGGTCTTCATAATTCTTTTAATCTTTATTGTAGGAAGTTATGTATAATATATATACAATTAAACTATACAATGAAAGCATTCAAATTTATTTACAAAATTGCATTAACTACTTCTTTCAATGATAATTCAAGTTACATCGATCAGGTATTTAGCTTGGTAATAATAGCAAATCTAATAATTCTGAAATGTATTATATATCATTAAACACATGGACTTACTCGGTGTTAAAATCTAAAACAACAAAGAAATATAATATTATATTAAAACTAAGATTACTTAATACTAGTGTGAAAATCATATAAGTTACTAACAAATTAATACTCGATTATACCAAGAATTTAAACAAAATTCCATGTATATTGAAAACTTCCCAAATACATTATCTGAAAGGAATAAACAAAATGTTAGCCCAATCTGAATTGCCAAGTTAAATAAAACAACAAATATATTAGTTCTGAACCTCTAGCTTGTATAAATTTATACTGTCCTTTAAGTTTTGACCGCTCGTCGCCCAGATAGTAAAGTGGAGGGGGAGCTTACTGCGATACCGAAGAGTCCAGGTTCGAATCTTGGAGAAGGCATGGCTGTAACTGTCCGTCTCTTCATAGGAGGGAACAGTAGTCCACTTATTAGGTCCTTTCACAATAAAGTGACCACCACTTTTGGCCTTAGTATCTTGCGATTGATTCCCTCGCAGAAAGTATTACTTCTGCAATCAATACTGCTACTTACACGATCCCTGACAATAACAATGTTGACCGACTCTCGACCTTTATTCGGGACCAAATCAACGAACGCAACAGATATCTAAAGAGGTGGAGTTTGACATGGGAGCCGAATATTAAGAAAGTGTTAAATGAGCTTAACAGAAAAATTAAAAACAACAAATAAGCAAGTATAGACAATAAACATAGGAGAAGAAAATCCTTGGCATAAATGGACTCGGACGAATACTTCTGGGCTTTCGCCAAAAGACTGAAACAAAAACCTACTCTAAACAGACCAATTTATACTGGGAATAAGACTGTGATTACTAATAAGGAAAAAGCCATGGTACTTTCTGACCATCTTCAAAACCAGTTCAGGCCAAATGACAAACCATGTCACCATAATTTTGTTGAATATGTGCATAACTTTGTATCTGACTGGCTCTGAGCGCACTCAGTTAAAATCAAGACTGATTTCACGTCACCTAAGAAAGTCCATAGTATTATTAAAAAGCTAAAAAATCGGATAGCCCCAGGACATGATGACATCAGTAACCTGGCTTAAAGCACCTTCCTATGAATCTTATTCCTAAATATGTCAGTATTTTGAACCCCTGCTTAGGGCACATCTACTTCCCTACTATCTGGAAGAAGGCTAAGGTGATACTCAAACCTGGAAATGATTTTACAAAACCAGAGGGCTTCAGGCCCATCAGCCTTCTCTCTGGCATGGGCAAAATTTTTGAAAATGTCATCATGGCTACAATGCAGCCTTTGTTTGACAAACTCCCCATTGAACAGTTCGGTTTCTGTAAAAACTTGTCAACGATGAAACAGCTTGTTCGCTTATCTGAGTTTATTGGTAGTGCTTTCCATTAATAAGTTAAATGTCGCCCTACTCATACTAGATGTGGCGAAAGCATTTGACCGCATCTAGCATGAGGGGCTGATCTCTAAACTTGTCGAGTTAAATTTCACCAGAGAACTTATTCTTCTTGTGCACTCATTTATCACTAACAGACTATTCTATAATTAAGACAAAATAACACGCCGAATAAATACTAATTCAGAAGTCAAAGAACAAAAATCAGCGTTATATTTACAAAATTTTCACAGGACTCATTTTGCGGTTTTGCAGCTGAGGATGTTGGTTAGGTAAAACCATCGAAACTAGTCCTGTGAAAATTTTGTAAATATAACGCTGATTTTTGTTGTTTGACTTCTGAATTAGACTATTCTATGTATCTATTGGTAGTGACACTTCGGATAAGACACTGTTGCGTGCTGGGATCCCTCAGGGATTGATTTTAGGTCCTACTCTCTACCTATATTATATTCCGGACCTTCCTAAAGATGTATTGGATTAAAATTATTTTCTCGGCCGCTACGCTGATGATACGGCTGTAGCAATCAAATCGAGTAACGCAAATCATGCTGTCTATAAGTTACAGAAATACATGCCAACTCTTGAAGAGTGGTGCCTTAGTTGGAGAAGAGATATAAACACGCAAAAATCGCAACTCTTGGTCTTACGTAAAACTAGCAGAAATGCTTCGATTAAGACAAAATTATTTCTTTTCAACGAAGAAGATCCTCTCGTGACTTAATGTAAGAGCTTGTAAAGCTACTTAGATGTTGTCTACAATAATAAGTTAACGTGAACAGATCACATTAAGAATGCTAGAAGAAAGGTCTTAGCTACTATAAATTGTCTCAGATCACTCATACGAAACTTCTCAAAGCTTAGCTTGTATAAGAAGCTTCGCATTTACACGGCTATGATCAGGCCAATATTTTCGTACGCATCGCCCACCAGGGCAACTGCCTCACAAAAAGACATAGTCAAATTGCAGGTCATTCAAAACAAATTTCTCAGGATCATAACAGACGCTCATTTCTTTGTAAGCTATGATACGCTTCATACAGATCTTAAAGGGGAAAAAGTGGAGGATTTCTTAAACCACATGAATGAAAATTTCTTTAATAAAGCCCTAAACTCTAACCATATTACCAATCTACAAGTGCTCAACTATCAAGTATACTTCAAGAAGATCAAGCTTATCGTCCTTTCGCGGCTCACCCCACCCGATACTCTAACTTCCCTACCTGATACACCTCTATCTAAGACTTCCTGTACATCTCAGTTATTCTCTTAGATACGTACTTGTACTCCATTCTCGCAGGTACTCTCTCAATAGTTCGTCTCACTTGTATCGATAATATCACATATCTACGTTATTGCAATGCTTCGCTGCGTCCTCCTATGCCTCTTGGTTGGTCTCTCGTTAGTCTCTCGTGTCTCCTTGCATGTTTTAACTCACCCCCTACCACTTCATATGCTTTGAAATTTTACCTTTTGACATCGCTATGTTATCCGCCCATGTGGCCCTATCTGACTGAGCCGGAAATGTTGCGCTTCGCGCGATATCGCGGCGATAATTATTAAACTTATAAATTTAATAATAAATGGTAGTTCCGACATATTCCCCCAAACAAAAAATGAGTTAATTTGAAATGAAATTATTGTATTTTGTATTAAACGCCATCTTATTACATTTTTAAAAGAAAGATTAACACATTTTCTCATTCACGTTTAAAACATAAAATTTTTCTGCTAAATTTGCTTTTTTATATAAAGTATAAATTATTTTTATATAGTTATATATATACATAAATTTATACAATGTATTAATATATACATATATAAATATATGTGCATATCATATATGTGTGTGTGCATATCATATATGTGTGTGTGCATATCATATATGTATATCTATCTATGTATCTGTCCATATAATATGATGTATAATCAAACGGATTATGGCGAGAATTGAGGCTAATTACATTTGAAATAAAATTAGTCATGCTATGAATTTTAACCTTCAGGAATAGGCTATTCATCTTTCTTGTATCCGGCAGAGATTAATTCCGCTTCATTTCCGGAGCAGGAAAATTCTTTATCAAAAGCATCCGGAACCTCCATAATCACATTAAAAAAAGGGAAGGAATGGAGTAGAATAAAATGTGACTTTTTTCATGCTGAATAACACTATATAAAAGGCGACTTAAGAAGATAAGAAACCGAAGCTCAACTTTTCGAGCGTGAGGACATAAAGGTAAATTTCGACTATTAATTAATTACTTCGTTTTGTTACTTTTAATTATTTGATGAAAATTTATAATAATTAACTAATTTTTTTAAAATATACATTGCTTTATCATTTATTATAATAATATTTGCTATAGGATGCTTATGAATTTGAATAATATATGTTTCTATAGCAGTTTAAGTCTGTAAGGAAAGCCTTCTAGTATTTTATTATAGAATATTTAGATTATAAAGTTGTTGGTTTAAGAAATCGCTCTGTTAACTTGGCATCGGTCTGACTTACAACAGTTTTAAAATTCGCTGAAATTTAAAATAAAATAAATGTTAAATTCAGCAAACAGTACTAACAAAATGTAACTGTAACAAAGAAATAGTGTTGTGTTTAATCTCGTTTGTCTTATATCAGAGCAAGTCCTTAAAATTCATCGTAGTCAGGACTGTACCTGCAGTTGTCAAGGGCCTTTGGCACCATACAGGTAACAAGTACGACTTTGCTTATTTCCACTCGCAATTTTGAAGGAGAGCATCTTGGAAAACCGGTTTCAGAGCCTTCCACCCCTCTTTTCCTACCACCAGCCTTTCGAGAGGATCTCCCACCCCTCTCCCCTTCCACCAAACCCATGGAGGTAGGAAGTAAGAAGGAGTCGCCCTAAACAAGTTTCTCCGTACCCTGCTCTGAAGCACCGGCGATCCCTACGTGGTGACCAAAACATTGGGTCATTTACCATTGAGTTCTATGGGATTTGACGCGTTCGGGTGTGTAAATATTTGTAATTACGTCCGCAAATATACAGATAAATGTATATATTTCTTTTTCTACAACACTTCAGAGTCCTAAGTATGTGGAAAAACATATTTTTAAACAACATTTCATTCTGAACGGAATTAAATGCTATACTTTTCACAGGACAGTTTTCTCAGAATGGTTTAATTTGAATGAAATATTTTCACAAGTTTTCGGTTAATTACATTAGAAAAAAAAATTAAGGTAATTCGATTTTATTCGGTTAAGGTTCAAAAATTAAGATCAAAGTTTATTGCATTATTAATATTAAAATTATGCATTATTTCTTTTCTATTTATAGAGCTTCTTAATAAAATACTTTCTTAAATATGTCATGATTTTTTGGCTTCTGAGGCATCTTTTAAATCGAAAAATGTAAGTCAATTTATAATTAATGCTCTATTCGGTTCATTTTAAATTAGAGAATTATTAGGAATTAGTGAAATACTTTAAATAAGTATTTCGCTAATTCCTAATAATTAAATAGGTATTAAATAGTATTTGACTTTCTCTGAACATTTCTCAAAGGGAATAAAATAATTTTTTTTTAAAGTATTATTTAAAACTTGTAACTGAGTTATTATAAAATGTAAGGGGAATAATTCTTTTAATTATACTTATCAGATTTTTTTTTTTTTTTACCCTTCATTTCAACAATACATATTCCAAAAACTCTTTATTACGTTCTTAAGTGCGCATCTCATAGCATTTGCTTTACAATACCTTTTAACAGATTGCTTTCTAATACGAACAATTCTTGCTTAAATAGTTTTATAACGTATTTGTCAACAGGATTTCAATTTATGTTTACAAACTCAATATTAAGGTTATTATATATTTAGATAACATTTATAATCATTATAAATTAGATACATTTAATCATTAGATTTCTTCACAGTACTTTCACAGTTGTTTATAAGTGAATAAATTCTTCATTTCAAATACATTTATAAATAATTTAATGAATATTTAAGTATTTTGTCAAAGGCAGATACATGCTTTTTGCATAAAATGCATTGAAATATGTATGGGTATTTATGCATGCAAGCACATGTATAAATACCCATACATATTTCCTATTTATCATTTCCGGCATGTGCAAATCTTTAATTTCTGTGCATTCACTATATTTTTCGTGTAAAGTAATTTACACTAATTTAGCATACAACCGAAAGTTTTACATAAAAAATATATATGAATATAATTTGAATGAAAATTATATGTATTATTTTTAATACCCACTCAAAGGTCAGTTTTACTTCAAAATTCCTCCACGATGGCATCTCTCTCTTTAGGCAGATAGCCCTTGCATGCGTTACTCTATGTAATAAAAACTTAATCTGACCTATGTGCCTAATTACAAATATTTTAACATACATAATTTTATATTTACATTTAGCCATTAAGTTTCAAACTTTTCAAATCTTCTAGAAAATAAATTTTGGCAGATCTCTTTTAGCAATTTTCTTAAACTCTATATTTTTGTAGTGCAACAGCTTAGAATTTTATAAAACAAAATTCATAATCAAAATCGCTGTTGTTAGTTATCGAAAAATAACCAAGATGTGATTTTTGCGTAAATGTCAGTAAACTATACAAATTGCTATTATCCATCACACTATGAATGTTTCTTTCATGAGTGTCCCTTTTTCGATTTCTATGGAACTGTCGTGTGTCGAAATACTATCAGAATCTTGTCAAGCGAGCTTCTGAATGTAAACAAAGAACACCCAGTCTGGTGACCCAAGCTTCAAAGCAGTGCTTCACTTCTAGCGCGAAATGGCCCCTCCTCCCTTTCCTACCTCCATGACCAAACCACACGAGAGGACTTTCGGCTCGCAGTATATTTAGAGTGGCGCCACGCCGCACCGACACTATACACTTACAGACATCCATGCGTTCTCCGGAATTCGGACCCGGGCCTTTCGGCACGGCAGTCAGCGACGCTAACCACTATACCGGTTGGGAGGCATAAAAACATATTTAATCATTAAAGCTAATTAAATTATTTGATATTTTCAATTGAATTTAATACAATTTAAAAATTAGATATTAATGCTAATTTTAATTAAAGCAATAAAGAAGTTGAATTAAACTTCTATTAAAATAATTACTATTTTGAATTTTAAGCATGTTGTGCATTAAAATTGTAATGAATTTTAACCTTTTAAATAGAATGTTGTTTTATTTCGGTATACATGTAACAGACGTACATACAGATTCTTCATTATTTAATAATGAGGTCTTATTAATATTGTACTTGGTCTAGAGAAAAACGTAAAATGATTCTTATCTTCAAGATGTCTAATTTTATATTTTAAATACACGCATTTTAGACTGAAGTAGCAACAGTTTAATGGAAAAATTTAATCAAAGTTTTTATTCTTTAAAAAGTATTAACAATATCATTTTGAACATGCACTTCTCTTTAAACTTTATTATCCAGACAGCTTTTCAGTTTGCTTTTTTTTTTTTAAATTTCATTTAGTATCTTTTAAATTTTGCTATCTAGTCAGCTTTTCAGTTTGCGTTTTTATTTAATTTTCTCCAAAATTATGGAAATTAAGTGCAAAAGAGGAATACTTAAGAGAAGAAAAGTATGACTGTAGAGTTTGAACTTAAATGCAATATAATTATAGCGTAGTGTCTGCTTGATTTGCTAATCATCGCTGATGAATTGCTGAGGAATGAAAGGATAACTGTTGCGTAATAAACTACGAATCACTTTTAAACCTTTTGCCTGGAATGAATTTATTGGCATCGATATTAGTAGGCGTGGCTTAATGTATTCTTGATTAATGTTATTATTCGGATATTGTTATCAAATTGCCGAAACCTGCCCATTTGTTTATACGAAAACATGGACAATATATCGCTAAATGTGATCAAGATATTATAGAACAGTTATTTTAAATGAGTGGTTTGCAAAGTGGGGTACCCTTATCTCAAAGGGTACGCGAAGTGATACTTGGGGGGTACTCCAAAGAAGTAGGCTCACGATCATTTGCGAGTGTCTGATCATGTATCACGTGAGTACGCGATTCTTCCATCGACCACAATGTCTAGTTTCACTAGCGTCTGGGGAGCTCAAAGTCATAATTGCACCTGCTTTAAAGCGTATGCACATTGCATTACATTACATTATATTGCATTATTTTACTTTATATTACATTATATAATATCATATTACATTATTTTACATTATATTGCATTATATTTTTATATTGACCAATTTACAATTAGTTTCGTCTCATGGTACGCAATCAAAAAAATTTCGAAATCGCTGATTTAAAGTAAACAAAGTTCATAATTTGAGAAAAACCTTTCAGTTGCATATAAGTTTCTTGGAAATAATAATAATAATAATAAAATTACATATAAATTGAAGTTTTTAAGAGATACTTAAAATTTTTTTTTTTTTCAAGGAACCAAAAATTATTTTAGTGAATTAATTAAATATGATATCACTGAAATTCTTATTTTATCACAAATAAATATATTTTATCAGGCAGATATAAATTTTTTCCTATCTGAAGAAAGTCTGGGTAAATTAATATATTTAACGATAATTCTAGGGCTCCTGACATCAGATAACTACGAAACATGATGAAAATTCTTTTCTGCAGCTTCATCTTGTCTCTTTTCAGCGTTTCAGGTAAGTTGTATTCAAAATATAACTGGTTATTTCATTAGAAAATACTTTTCCATTTTCATTTTTAGGGTATTTTTTCCCTCATCTCCGCAGCCCTTCGTGGTGTAACTGGAAACACGCATCACACGTATTCAGGAGGAGGTCGGAAGTTCGAATCCCGACAACGGCATTGCAAATTTTTCACGTTCATGCATCGATATAACCTGATGACTCTACACATTATAGACATAAATTTGTTGGACAAAATTGTTCATAAGATGTCAAGCGAAAATTCACCTCTGATATGAAATATTCTTGACATTAATGTTTGAGACTTTAGTCTTTGCTTGATTTTTAGTACTTATTTACAAAAGTCCAGTTGTAAAAGGAGCCCCAGCAGCCGAGCGGCAAAGTCATTAAACACTAATAGTTCCCACTTGGGTTAAATTCCAGACGAACGGGCTGGCTGTGTGGACGTTTTCATGGTTTTCCTCATGTGTAAGGTGTATACGAGCCAATTTCCCTTAGAAAGTTCCCCACGATCTTTTACCTTACGCAGTAAGGCCTTGCGTTCTTTGTCATAATCGGCTAAAACATGTCAACTGGTTAGGTTTATTTAATTATGGCAAAGCACACTAGGGCTATCTGCCTAAGGGAAGGGATGCCTTCGTGGAGGACTTTCTAAGGGAACGGGCTCGTATACACGTTACACATGGGGAAAACCACGAACATGCCCATGCAGCCAGCCCGTTCGTGTGATTCGAACCTCGGACCGAACTACCAGTATTCAGCCACTTTATCGCTCGGCCACTGGTGGGCCTCAACTGTAAAGGACATTTACAAAAGGAAATGCTCAAATGACATGCAGTCGGTATAAACGATATTCTGAGACTCGATGAACTGTATTTTCAAAAAGCTACTAGCTGTAATCTAGGAAAATTTGTTAGCTATTCCACTGTCAAATGGAGGGAAACCAATTTATGGATAGATTTCGAATTTCGAAGCTTTCAATATTACAAGCCGCTTTAGTAGACGCTAACCGCTAACTTGAATGTAATATGTTATACAAATGTTAATAGTTAAAAAATAACGGATACTTTTAGTACAATGTAAACTTATTTTAGAAGTGTAAATAGGAAAGAAATAAATTATCAGAATCTCTGTATATTATTAACATGCAACAAGGCATTACGTGCTTTTACATTTGTTATTTTTTTAGAACTTTTATTATATACTTATGTATTGCTGTATCATTGACGAATGGTTTGAAGTGAATTTTTATTAATTTCTCTTTTATGCATTTTCTGTGCATGACTGCCAAGTTCATCCTTGTGCAAATTAATTGAAACAAACTCGAAAAATTGAGAAAACTAAGAAAAAATGTTTTTTTTTTTAAATTTATATAAAATTAAACATTTTAGTACATAATATGATCCCCACAACACTTTATTAACATTTGGACACGATTTGGCATGGATACTAATTTTTCTTGTGTCCTTGTACCACACATGAATTATCGCCGTGTTTAGCTTCTCCATAGTTGTACAGTCCATATTTAATATGCAATTCTTTTATATAGCCCAGAGATTCTCTGTTGGGTTAATATCAGGAGAATTCCTAGGCCACTACAATGTCTCAGTTTGGTTATCAGAAATGAATTTCTTGACCATTTTGGACGTTTGGCACGGGCTAAAACCCTACTGAAAAATCTCCGCGCGATCAGGGTATCGATTCTTCATCTATAGGAGCAACCTTTTTATCCAGAATGGCTATGAACCAGATATCCAGAATAGCCATATTGCTAAGAACGCATGTATACAGTCAACAGGTTTTGCAAAGTCCAAAACATCTTCTTTTGAATGTTTAACAACCTGGTTAATGTGGTTATAATGTTCCTAAATACTTTGTCTAGATATCATGTCAAGGAACCTAGTGAACTAAATAGCGAATTATCGCTGAGTTCAAGTAGTTGCTACAGAGACTTGAGAAGAGTTAAAGCACCCTTTTATTCTCCCAAAGAAATAATAACAGATGGCCCCTTCTCGGGCTTACAGGAAAGCCTTCATTTGGACTTTTAAATCAGACTAAGAAACTACGACCTAGTTTAATACTAAACTAAATAGACATAGCCGAAGCTAGACACAAATACCTAACATAGTTCGACCTTAAATGAACTTAGCCGGCGATTCTCAACAGGTACATAAAATACGGACCAAGGACCAAGGCGATGGCTTCCGGAGTATCTTTGCTGGAAACAGCAATAACTTCCACAACTTTTAAGAAATAATGAATAATTAAGAGATGAGTATGGCTAAAGTGAAGAACGAGAACCGTTAAGGGTTTAAAGGTACAGGAGATTGATAAGAAGTCCAAAAGGGACGAAAGCTTCTTTCAACTTCTATCTTTACCTGTGTATAGGGGGTCAAAGACCGCCCGTCGCTCAAAATACAACCGAACGTAGACGTAGCCGGCAAACACGCTCCACTAAGGACTCCTACGCACTCTCTCTTTCGAAGTAAGTTGAACTTTCTTTTCTACTTCTAACTCATTTGCATTAAACGCGATATTAAAATGTCATTATGGCAAGGAGTTGTAAGTGGAAACAAGAGAAACAAGTGAAAGAAAAGATTTTCAAAATTAAAAATAACTGTTCTAAAATTAAAATACACCTTACATGGTAATCCATAATGTTTTTTTCGCCTGGCGATCTCCGCACGTGTTGAGTTCGCTGGCCTTGGACGAAAAAATGGCTTTCGTCGCTAAATAGTACTTTTGCCCAATTTTTATATTTTAGTACCCTCAAGTAGCGATTTTTCTTCATTGGTTGGCTGAGAACAGAACACGGAGAGAAACGGTATAGCACCAGGGTGCCTGGGTTACCAGAACCCTACCCCTTGTAGAACGGCTAGGTAGTTGTGAATTATGCCAAAAAAAAAATAACTAGAACATAAATCGAACAAGTAAAAAACAGAATTTCCTAAGTCTCTCTTCCATTTTGAACAAGTGAGTGCAACTTGCAATAATGAAGAATCGTGCCCATGATCGTAAAACAATGAAAATGGGCTGCTAAGATGGTGCAAAGAATTTTAGAAGAAGGATTAGTCCTTAATAGTCCTTAATTTTCATCTACCGCAAACTTCATAAGCATCATCGCTGCTCTAAACCTCTCTGTTAGCTTTTCGGCGGTAGACTTTGCTGCACGAATTTTCGCGATGTGTTTAATCATGCTTCGTAGCAAGCTGTTAACTTTTCTATCTTTCAGCCAACTGACTGCTTCTCGAAGATCATCTGGGGGAGGTTGGAGTGAGAAGTGCTATTTTCCTTCTCGGTACTGCTGGCGCTTTACTTGGAAGTACGGGAAAGTCATCATCAATCTTTACGAACTCCTTGGGATTTAGTGGTGGGCTTCTTCTCCGTTTTCTTCTCAGATTTCCTTCTGTAATAGCTACAACTACGGTAGCTCACATGGTTTTCTTAACAATAAATGCAGGTGGGTTCTTCATCTTGTCTGACGGGACATTCCTTACTCCTGTAAGAATTGCCACACTTGGTTAGTGCACAGGTGCTGAGAGTGACCCTCACTCCTGACACCTTGACCTCTTTTTCGGATTATGCTTCTCAACCTTGACGTTGAAACTGAACATATTGTTCAAATTAAAGATTGCGTAGCCTGCTTGATTCTTCTTCAGTTCGAGCAGGAAAATGGGAAGCTTCTCGAAATTCTTTGATTTTCCTTTTCGAAATTGTTTTAGCTTCTCAATGGTTAATAGCCGCTTTAGATCGTCAAGTATTGCTTCCTCTTTCACCGTGTCTGGTAGGTCTTTCAGTATCGCTCATAGTGGTTTCTCACTTGGTAACTGAAATGTATGATATGGTTTGCTCTTCTCTTGCAACATTTTCGTAGCATTTCGATAGTCCTCAATAGATTTAACATTGACGTAAATTGCCGTAGACTTCACATTCGCCTCGAACTCTTCTTTGCATTCTTTTCTTAGAAGTTCGTCTATTACCATCTAATCCACACTGCGCTGCTGAAATACAATCGGTGGGGGCGTCTTTTCCTTACTGGCTCCGCCTTCTTCCTGGTTTTTGGCTTCGTTCAGTACTTCAAATCTGTTTTCTTTCGGAACTTCCATCTGTATCTCTTTTTCGACAATTTTAACAATTTTCTTTGGCGAAATCCAAGTGTTTTCTTTCTCTTTCTTCGAATGCTGATTATCATCCCTTTTAGGCTTCTTTGCTGCCTGGCACCTTGATGAGCGCAGTAGTTCAAGAACGTTATCAACTCCTTGATCCGCCATAAGTTTCCTTAAACACATTATTTTTTCTCTTTCTTCGTCCGCTCTAGTCGTGTTCATCTCCATACTAGAATTTGTGTGAACTTCATTATCCGTAGTCTTCTTAGATTTCTTCTTCACCAATTTCCTACCCTTAGGAGAAAGCATAAAATCCTCTTTTCGCAGCGGGGAAGTCCTATTTGCCTTGAAAGAGCTGACAGAACTTCTTTCACTTAGCTCGTCTTCATCAGTAAGATCACCAGGTGCCCTATAAAAGGACATTTCGAAATACTCGAAGGTAGCTGAAAAGAATAAGTCACTGACCGCCTACGATTACTGGGTCAGTTTTCGTCAAAAGTAGAAGAGATACACACTCGCTGTCTCAGGTCAGAATCAGAAAGAATCAGAAGCAGAATTGGCTGAGAAGCTATTTCTTAATAAGGCGATAGGCTCACCGACCAGCTGCAAGAAGACGCCTCTGAACAGCAGATGAGCTAATATTTGTTCCATGCTCTTTTGAATCTCTATTGAGTGCAGTACTAGTGTTTCGAAGGTATTTTTGACTTTGTGTAAGAAGAAAAGTCATTTCTTGGCTTTGTTTTGTTTTTTCAGCCACATTTACCTATCCACTTTGGAGATATGGATCCTGTTTCTTCCCCCCTTTTTTGTCTTATGATACGGCTCAGGGTGTCAATACTAACTCCAGCTATATTTGAAATCTCTCTGTAAGTCTTTGGCGTATGTTTCTAGAGAGTAACAATCTTTGTATGCTTCCGCGGCGTCACATCCATCTCTGGTAACAGTAAACTTTCAGCTGATGTGATATCATATGGAGCTTTCATCTACGGAAATTCCTCTCAAAAACCCTTCTGATTTGTAGAAAGTTTTGCTAGAAAAAGGATTTATTCATCCTATCTACATTTTAACATATTTGGGTACGAATGTTGAAGAATGATAGGAATGATTTTAAAACTCATGAAAAAAAGTTTATTTTAATTAATTTGCACAAGGATATAAGTAAAATATTTTTAGTATGCTAATATGCTATTCTTCATTTCTATTAATAGCCTTTTTCATGCACCGTTATTTATACGTGAAAATATTCAAATGATTTTAAAGAAAGAAAAGAACTCAAAAATGAGTTTACAAAATTTAATGGAAAGAAGCTTTTATTCCAATAATATCAATTATAAAAGTTTTCTGATAGATGAAAATCACTACGATTTTTACAATAGAAAAAATACAGTGAGACTAAATTAAAAATATTTTCGAATATTCTTTTTATACGTATTAAATTGTATGCATTGGCTTCCCTCTAAAATAAAGATTTAAAATTCAGTTTTGGAATTCTGTTGCCGCATGTTTTGGAATTCTGCACGTGAATGAAGTAATACTTTTCTCACCAAAAATCACATTTAAATGAGACAAGGATCCCAGCAAAGGATGACTGTAATAATTAATCACCTAAGGTATCATATTGGATTGTTTATACTTTTTTCTGTGTTTTAGCTGAGCATTCTGGACACAGACGGAATTGTCATGATTTGTGGTATTATCAAAACATTCGGAACACAGGAAACTACGAAATAGATGTTGATGATGATGGTCCTCTTGCTCCCATTATAGTCGAATGTGATATGGGAGACGGAAGAGATTCTCATGAAGTAAGCGGTTAATATTGATTCTTCCCGATATATTTAGGTGAAATATTTAGGTGAAATGAACATGTAAAGCAACATTTCGTTCCATTCAACCACTCCATTTAAAGTGCGCTTGTCATAGGTAAAGATAGATAAAATGCAAATATTATTGTTTAAAATATTTCTTTAATTAAATCTAATAAGGGTTTGTAAAAACCAAATGAATCTGTAATAGGTGTAGAGTATATGAAGTTAAAAGCATCTGTTATTACCTAAAATATTGCTGCAGATAATCATAAAAATTATTAATTCAGTATCAGCTCGTATATACTTAGAATTATATAACTCTCTTGAGTCTTTAGGTTTATTATTTCATCAGAAACATGAAAAATCAATGGTGTTCCTGCCGAGATTGGAACTCCTGACTTTGTAAAGAACTCCTTCGTTAGGTGCTTATTATATGCTTTTGAGTTCAAAATGCAGTAAGTATTACGCAACCTCACAAATGTACTAATCATTATACGGAGTCAGATGCGCTACTTGCCGCCAGTCACCACAAATATTTGGGACATTAATTAAAGGGATGAGAGAGTAGTTTTTAACTCGATTATTATTTAAAGTTGAAATGAAATTAAAAATATGTGTTTCCAGATTATCAGCATCAACTAGTTCGGAGTGTAGCAAAGAGAAGAAAATCCATTTCGAACATATTGCTTCAAATTTTCTTAGATTCTTGAGTAATGATCCACTTTCTATGAAATATATAATCGTGCATTAAAGCTTAAGAAATAGCATATACAGTAACAAAATATTTTATAAACATTAGAATTATATTTATATATTTTTCGTTAGGTGCTAACTGTTCTTCATCATGATGCTGAAGATCTCACGTTAATTCGGGGATTTGAAATGCGTGGAAATATAACGTATACAGACGCTACGGAAGAGCACATGATGATCTTGATTGATTCGTCCTTTTCCTGCCAGCAGTATATGAAAGTACTTTATAAGGGGACGCTATTCGATTCCTGGAATCGTGAAAAAGCTAAGATTCGGTAAGATTTTAATCATAGCTTATGGATAATTACATAAAAATAATAGTTGGATAGACTAGCTGAGTACATAAAGGCATGTAGAGGTGATAATTATTTTTTATTTTATTTGCGATACAGTGATCTTACTTTCTCTTTCAAATACTTAAACGCATGCTGAAGTACTTATATTTAATGTTAATATTCTTAGTTAAAGTATATTTACACTTAAGATATACATTCTTATACAGTACTTAACTTCTTACATCTGTTTTATTAATCCTGGCTTCATCATTTGTATAATAAATGGTTAATTTAGATATCAGACAACAAAAATCAGCCTTATATTTTCAAATTTTTCACAGGACTAGTTTCGATGGTTTTACCGAACCATCATCCTCAGCTGCAAAAAGCGCAAATGAACAAAATAAGATATAATGATTAGATAAGATAAGAAAGCCTGGACAGGAAATAAGTCACTGGCGCCATCTGTTGATGAAACCAGAACTAAAACATAATTTCTTGAAAGGCTGAAGGCAAAGATGGATTGGAATTAGGGTCGTTAATTGGAACACAAAGATTTTTTTTAATGTGAAATGCCTCTAGAAAATTCAGTTCACCAATGGAAGATGTTTTTTGAATAATTTTGGCAGCAGAAAAATTGAAAGCGTGATTTTCGGACCAACAATGATGGGCAACAGAAGACTTCTGTGTTTCCTTTTTTCTAACATGTGCCTCATGTTCCTTAATGCGAAATTTTAAGGCTCTCTTAGTTTGGCCAATGTAAATTAAGCTACACTATCAAGGAATCCTGTAAATACGCCAGGAATTCATATCCGGAATGGGGTCCTTGAGTATGCAACTCGAAATTTTATTGATGGGAGAATAAACGAACCGAAAGTTAAATTTCTGCAAAATACGTGCAACTTAATAGCTAATTGATGGAAAAAAGGGAATGACAACAGAATTTTTATAATCTCCTAAAACAAGAGTGTGCCTTTTGGTGTGATTAGATGAGAATTTTTCAACTGCTTTATTAATAATTTTGGGAGAAAAGGCCCTGTCAATAGCTATTGCTTTTAAATAATTTAGTTCTTCATCAAGGGATAGTTTGCAGGAGCAAACTTGAAGAAGAAGAAATGTTTTTAACCTTTTTTACAAACTCTATTGAATTTTTTATGGTGTAAATGTTATTGTCTAATAGAGTTGAAAATCTAGAAACTAAATGTTTAGCTAACGGATACGAGGCAGTACTAAATTTAATACAATAGAGCGGAAGGGAATACCACTTTTATGAATTTTGAGAAGAGCATATAATCTGGCAGAGTTCGCAACAGATGGGATAAGCGAATGTTTTAAGTTGCTTGAGAGGATTTGTGAAGATTTGATCGCAGTTTTTATTTTTGACAGGTCCGAAGGTAAAGCATCTTTAGGGATCGGATTATATGGTCCTTCGTTTAAGAGTTTAGTGACACCATTTTTTTTTGTCGGCCTTTGAAATGATAATATACGGGTCAGAATGAATTTCGTGCATTGTAGCTCTTTCTCGCTCTTTCGCTCATTGTAGCTCCTGCTCCTCCAAACTATCCCTTGATGAAGAACTAAATTATTTAAAAGCAATAGCTATTGACAGGGCCTTTTCTCCCATAATTATTAATCAAGTAGTTGAAAAATTCTCATCTAATCACACCAAAAGGCACACTCTTGTTTTAGGAGATTATAAAAATTCTGTTGTCATTCCCTTCTTTCCATGAATTAGCTATAAAGTTGCACGTATTTTGCAGAAATTTAACTTTCGGGTCGTATTCTCCCATCAATAAAATTCCGAGTTCCATACTCAAGGACCCCATTCCGGATATTAATTCTTGGGGAATTTACAGGATTCCTTGCCAGTGTGGCTTAATTTACATTGGCCAAACTAAGAGAGCCTTAAAATTTCGCGTCAAGGAACATGAGGCATATGTTAGAAAAAAGGAAACACAGAAGTCTTCTGTTGCTCAACATTGTTGGTCCGAAAACCACACTTTAAATTTTTCTGCTGCAAAAATTATTCAAAAAACATCTTCCATTGGAGAACTTAGATTTTCTAGAGGTGTTTCACATTCAAAAAAATTCTTTGTGTTCTAGTTAACGACTCTCTAATTCCAATCCATCTTTACCCTTCAGTCCTTTCAATTAAATCACATTTTAGTTCTTCTTGTTTCAATCAATCAGATGGCGCCAGTAGACTTAACTCCTGTCCAGCCATTCTTATCTTATCCTAATCATTATATCTTATTTCGTTCATTTGCGCTTTTTGCAGTTGAGAATGATGGTTTGGTAAAACCATCGAAACTAGTCCTGTGAAAATTTGAAAATATTACGCTGATTTTTGTTGTCTGACTTCTAAATTAATATTTGTTCGGCGTGTTATTGTATTTTAATTAATAAATGGTTGTTTTAAAATCGCAAAGTGTTTTATTTAGAGTTTCTTAAAGACAAATATATCTAAAAGGGTAATAAACATACTTTACTTCTTTTGTTTTTATATTATGTCTTTCGATAATTTTTATTCCTTTTACCTCATTAACTTACAGATTTTTTATATCAGCTTGTTTTCATTGTGCTGCATACATCTGTTCAAATTTGTAATGAATAGCACTAATTATACGAGTTGTTAAATTTTTAATCCTTTTTTATTTTTTATCTCATCAAATCGTTGTAGTGATTTTGACATCAAAACATCGTAGTGACTTTTACAATTCATAATGAATAGCATTAATAAGAGTTTTTACATTTTTTAATCCTTTTCTATTTCTCATCTCATCAAAACGTTGTAGTGACTCTGACTGCCGTACCGAAGGGCCCGGTTTCGAATCACACAGAAGATATGCATGTTTGTAAATGTATAATGTTTTTGCGGCATGGGGTCACTCTAAATATATGGCTAACGGAAAGTTCTCTTGTGTGGTTTGATGGAAAGTGAGAGGGTTTTCTATAGCTTATTATTAAGTATTTGTAGCAAATGAAGCATCAGTGTGTAAATATTGTTAATCTATAGAATCAAAATTATTCTTGGTTTTTTTTGTTTGTTTGTCGTCAAGTCCATATTTCATGGAATAATGATTGCCAAAGCCTGAAGGAGGTTGGACTTATAAAACCACCCCGACCTTGAGGGAGAGGATCCGGGGGGGGGGAGGATTCGAGCTCTCGCACCCCTCTTCAGAAAATCAAGATCTTCAGAAAAGCTTTAAGATCTAAGAAAGGTTCGCTAGAAACGGTTTTTCACAAGGTTGTTAGCTTATTACTTTAAAAATTAAACCCCGTAAATTTTTCCCTCCCGTCAATATGATTTGCTGTATAAAATTCATTTGGTGTTTTGTCATGTTGGCACTGAAATAATCCATATATTTTATACCTTCCCTTGAAAAATAATTTTTATTAGAATTTTTTTTCTGAAACATAGTTCTTATAATTTTATTGAACGACTTGTTGCCAATTTTTTTAGTAAGAATGGTACAAAATATCAAATCATGCAGTTTGTTTGTACCTTTCCAAGGGCCTGAAGTAATCCATATTATAATAAATCGATTTTATTTCTCAACATTCTTTTAAACTAAACTAAGTATGTTAACTCAGGTCCGATTGTGATAAAACAATTTAGAATTCTTAAAGCTACACTATGGTAGGCAGATTTATTAAAAATGTAAAATGATAAACAGATGAACAAGAATAACGGATATTCATTTCTAATTCTTATATAAGATTTTACACAAATACAATGTATACAAATCTCTGATATTAAAATAAATTCCTTAGAAGGATGTTAAATCATAATTATAGTACGCAAATTATGAGTTTACTCCTAACTTTAGAACCGAACACCATTTATAAAATCGGCATATTTAGAATTTGATTTACATGTACTTGTCCCTATTTGTTCCAAGAATCACATGGTTAAACTATCTAGGAGAAGAAGATGGTAATATGAACTATGTTCGGGGAAGAAAATTACACGATGCTGGGGACAACACGTTCAAACTCTCCACGCTAAGTAAGAGAACAAAGGATACTTGATGAACATTCGCTAACACTACCCTTTTTCATAACAATGGATTATCTTCACCATCATTTACTATATAACAATCTGGAAAGTCCTTTACCTACACTGTCCTTAGTACTATCTTTCTTCTTTATCAGTCCTCGCCTTCTGCTAAATGCCAGACTGAAATAGTCTTCTCATAACTTGTCATACATAGACAGACACACATCACACGGATCGTGGCACAATAGTCAAAGTCGTAGCTAAACTTTTCAGCGCCCGGAAACAATTGAAAATTTCCTTTCCTGTTAAAAAAAAAAAAAAAAAAAAAATGCATTCTAAAATTTTGTATAATCAATTTGACGCCATCTAGATCCTGTGCCCGGGGGCAGATGTCCCTCTTGCTCCCTCTTGGTGCTGATAATAATCTCAGTCAAAAGCTGAGACTCTAAGACGTCTAAGGATAGAACTGTCTCCTCCCCGTCCTTTTCTTCCATCATACGCTATCAGCCTAGAACAGTGTCTTCATAACATGGTGCAAATAGAAATGTATCACACAGATCATCACCAATCGGAAGGCGAGAATTTATCTTCCTTCATTTCACCATAATAATTTGAGCTCACTACAGCATTCCTCATATCTTTGTCCACTATAATTCGAGATCTTTCTGTATCATTCGCCCTATCTTTTGTCGTTTCTTCACTGCGCCCAAATTCCTTCAAACATCTGCAATCACAAACTTTCTTCATCCTCTCTTTTGCTCTTTTCTTTCCTTCCCCTTATTTGACAATATTTTCGTTATTTAACACTCTGAATTATTATTGGAACAAACATGTGATGCACCCGTACCTCCAGTGATCTTATATTCATCGAAGAGTATACCACAGCATTTTCTCCAACCAATTAAAAGCTTGCAGGCAATTAAAATATTATAGCCATTTTCCAGACCTCGCTTTGATTTACTTAATGTATTTTTTTTTAAATTCTTCTCTGCACAATAGGAGACTAACTGATCTCAAATTGGCGGCCTGTGGGCCGCCCCATGCGACCCTTGAAGAATTTTTTTCTAGCCCGCGAAGACATTTTAATTACAATGTTATAAGTCTTTCAAGACTTTAGTTCGAAGTCCGAGTTTACATTAGTTTCATTTCCATTAAAAACGAACCTGAAATAACATGCCAAAATATCTATAAATGCAGCTATTTAGTTTAGCGTGTGCTATAAATCTTGGACTAATAAAAAATATAATATGATATAAAAATAAAAGATTTGAAGATACAGATTTTATTAAATTTTGTTTGCCCTTCTGTCAAAAAATAAATAAAGTAAATTACGAATTTTTGCTCTAATAATAATCGCTTTGGTTGGGAATACATTTATATCTGAACAGTTTTTCATAGTTGAAAATTAACAAGAAAAGAATCCGATGGACCAATGAGCATCTGCAATCCATGCTGAATATTCAATTTTTCTCCAAGTTACAAACTTTATCAGAATCGAAATGCCATCAAGTGTGAAACTGTATTATGAAATAAAGAAGTTTGTAGTTATTTGCATACAAATATACATATTTTATTTGTGCGTTGAATAAAAATTTAATAGATAAGAATCATTATTTACTCCCAAGTTTCGCCCTACTAGGTAAATTTTCTCTAAAAACTTAGAAAGTTTTCATAATTTGTTTATTTTTAGTTTTAAAATAAATTATTTAATGACTAATTAAATATTTTAGAAAGATTCAAAAGAAATATCAGTCTAAGAATTTATCATTTATCTCTCAGTATATTTGAATTATTAAGTGTAAATCATGAGAGAAGTGAAACACACTCCAAAGTAAGATTTAAATTTAAAGATGACAACAGTCTTGTGTTTGGCATAGCTTTTAACTGGAACTCTATCCATTTCGAGAGCAAGCATTTATAATGCAACAAACAAAAATGTTTTATAGGTACCAAATTTTACATTTCTGTACTTTTTCTTGTCGATAGTACTACTACGCATGTCTATGAATACTATGTATGTCTATGCATGTTTTGAGAAAATATTTAGTAATCGAAAACCACCTATAACTCATCAACCACAACGAAATTGTATTCCATATATTTCAAAATTTCTTGATTTCAGACATTCTAGCTATTCGATAGTCACACAAAAAGAACCTTTTTCTTTCAAAGCAACGTCTTACCTAGACCCCCATGGATCTGAAACGGTTTGGCTCATTAGTACGACAGGTAATCAACATTATCATTAGTACGACAGGTTTTTCATCAACGCTTGCGACTTATCCATCGTCACAGTAAAGTTATTCACCATATCCTTCCATGGAATCCAGGCAGCATTCCTTGAAGTCAGATTGCTACGCAGCACAATGATTTTCTTTATCTTCAGACAAATCCCATTATTTAATTTGTTATGATTAAAAATATATTGAATTATTTAATAACAGGAAAGCTCACTAGTACTATTTGCCTGTGAAAAGTGATGTTTTCCGCAAGTAACTTTTAATAGAGTAAAACTTATGGCGAGTTTTATTGCTGTACATTTTGTTCATGTCAAAAGTTATAGTATTTACTACGAAAGTATGAAACTTTTAATGTGGCAATAGGACAAAATATGTTTAAGTATATTAACATTTTTTCTGGCTTTTACTTTGATAGCTCTCAATTAATACTTTCGCCAGACAACCCTCCTACTTTTTTCTCAGGTGGGAGACTTTAAATTAATGACATAAAAAACTTGTATGTAATATTTGAGTCAGCTATACATCACATCTATACCAAAGAAGATAAGATGTAAAATATGATATTAATGGGTAATTCGAGGTTTTTCAGTTCGGGTGTGCTTTTATAGGATTTAAGATTCACATGATTAAGATTTCATTTACACGTTACGAAACAAGCGTTCATTACCTGTATCACATCTGCTAGTTATACTCAACAGTGTGTAGAAAGAAATATTTCCCAGAATCTTCGTTTTGGTCACGAATACTCGAATGGTTAAAGAATTCTAAAACATTCATAGTGTTCCACCAAGGCATCCCTTCTTTTAGGAAAGAGCCCTCGTGTGCTTTGCCGTATTCAAATAAGCAAATGTCCAAATCTGTAGGAAGGGAAGGAACAAAAAATCGGATTTTGATATTTCGCATAAAAGTAGTCAAACGATGCCAGATGCAGATTTCTTTGTGACCAGTATCCCGAACCATGTTCTGCTTACTCAAATACCAAGGAAACGTTTTATTCATACCGTATTTAAAACGACTTAGAGCAATCGACAACAATAACAAAATTTGTTTTAAGCGCAAAAACGTTTTTTGCCTTTTTAGCGACCATATTGCTCGGCTGACGTGAAGAGGATTCATCTTATGCTGACATCACGAAAACAGAAGGAAGAAGAAGGTCGTAAACTTGAAAACGCTCTCTATAAAACTGCACTAAATGTTTTCTGGTAAAAAGAAAAACCTTTCGATTTATAAGCTTTCAATCTGTCAATTGCTTTTAGGTTAACTCTGTATAATTGTAAACATCTTGAAGTGAATAATTATGGTTCTTATAAATTATTTAATTATTATGGTTCTAAATTGGTGATGACATTGATCTCTTTGCTTTTTAGTCAATTTATAAAATTTATGAGAATTACATGAGAATGCTGTGATAATACTGTGTAAAACTAACATTTTAGTTACGGTTTCATCAGGTGGGTTGGAAGGAATTGGAAAGATCAGTATTACTGGGATGGAGATGAAACGGACAGTGGGAACTGTGGATGCTATCCTGACTGTCACTCCACATCTAGAAACAGCACATGTAATAGTGACACGAATTTAGAACAAACGTGGTTAATGGATGTCGGGCTTCTGATGGATTCTAGTCGCCTTCCAGTGTTGCAGCTGAGATTCGAAGGAACAAAAGCTATGCATTATGAACTAGGACCCCTAATTTGTAGGGCAGAAGGTTTCAGAGGTAAGAAATTTGTAGTATCATTACTGTTGTTTTCATTATTATGTAAATCACAGTTAGATGCAGCTAGTTCGTTGCTTTCATTTGATTGTGGAAATTAAAAAGTGCAAAGTCACACTTTACATGCCCAGTGAAAGAAATGCATATTAATTGAAAGCAGGTTGCAGAATGTACAAAGAAAATATAAAATATACCGTTGTAATGAAATCTAATAGCAAGCTGTCGGCCTGCTTTTGGTCGTAATATATGCATTCCGCCTTTAAGTAACACCTATTGCAAGATGCAGTTGTAAAACTATGCTTCCATTTTGCCTGTACTATCTCCTGTATATAATACACTCAAAGCGCAATGCAAATTCAATCTGTATCGAACGTATGCGTATGCACGTATTCATGTAAACGTATTTATTATCTACCCCTGTATGTATATCTAATGTAGGTGATCTTATTTATCCAAGTCAAATTATTATAACTTTCATTACTGTAGCTAAGTATGCGTATCTACTCAACCATGTTTATGCATTAATTTAATTACCTCCATTAGAGTAACGTCTGGATGTACTATATACTTAATGCGTCTTCAACATGAATTTAATGTATGCATATTTATTTATCCATGTATAAGTATTTCTTTATTTATCTATGCATGTGTAATGTTTATCCAAGTTATAGGTGATTTTATATATGCAAGCCAAATTACTATGATCATAACATTTCGAGACGAGTATTGTATTCTGTGCTGTGTGCTAATGTATCCTGCAGCGCATGATATGATATATTTACCCTGTATTATATTAAGTAGCTACTTCATATATATATATATGTAATGTAGTATATAATCATTGTTATATCATGCGCATCCCAATATATAGTGTTTGTATTTCCATGAATATTTTAATGAAGTCACATAGTTACTGTCGAACGTATTTCAAAGTATATTTTAATCAAGTCATATATTGTCAAAGTATTATTCAACGTAACAATATGTGTAACTGCGTGTAACTATAATTTTTGAGTATAATTATAATTTGTTATCAAAGTCACGGTAGAAAATCATGTAATATGTATCTTGAATGACGTATAAGACACTGTATTTAATATATATATAAAATCAATGCATACTAATTCAGCGAGGCACCAGTGTGAACCCCCACCTCTTGACGTCTGTGGCTGTTCTAGATAATGGTGGATGTTGTGCTGTATTGATTAACCTGTATGGTAGAGGCTCAGAGCCCACGTCCTCCGTCACTTGTCACTTGTACTATCTCCAGCAGTTCTTACAGTATAGAACTCTTAAGTTTCAAAATTGTAACGCTACACACTAATTCTTTCTGTATGCGTTCAGTGGGGTTGAGGCATGAGAAGATGACCATGATACTGAAAAACTTAGCAGCTCTTTTCGTCTGACATTTTCATTAGAAATTTCATTCAGAATTGAAAATTTTACATTTTAGGCTTAAAAATAATTTTATTGTATTGTCTATTTAATTAAAATATATTCGTAGAAAATACGCTTTATAAATTACTTTCAGTCTTCAGGGCATTCCTTCAGGCATTATCGTTTTTGCATAACATAACTGCGGGAAAAAAAGTAAGTGAGTAATTTATAATAATTTAAGCATATATTGTTGTTTTCATGAAAAGTGAGGAGAGGTTTCTTAAAATAAGAATCATTATAATGAATATTTTACTTATATTGAAGTAAATATGGTATTCAGATTTAAGCAGAGTTGTTCTTTGAATACGTTGTTTCCAATACATTCATAATTTAATTTGAATATCAGATGATTTTCTTCTGAAAAATACAGCAATATTTTGCGTTTTATAGTTTAGAGAGTGAAATGTAGATATAAACGTCTTGTTAATAGTTGCCATCACAATTAATTGGCTACGATCATGCCAAGTGAATCAGCATCAGAGAACTTCCAAAAATTATGAATAAGAGCTACATACGGTGGTAACTTTGGCTCTGGAATTTTCGTATAATTTAGTCAGACTGGTGCCCATGGTACTTATGAATCCGTAATACTCGTTTCAAGTCCTTCAATTCCCAACATAGATGTTATTTTAGTATGCCTTAATCGATAAATAGCATTTAGAGCACTGATATGAAATCGATGTATGCGACTGCAGGATCATGGAAGCCCATCGAATGAAATTTTAAGCGGCGCTTTGTATGTGTAAGTAGAGTTGTAAGTAGTATTACTTACTTATAGGCTTGCAAGGAGAGTTTCTGGGCTTTGAACTCTCAGTGTTCCTTGAATATATATATATATATTGAAGAGTTATTGAGAAAATGTCATACATATACATATACACTAGTGTTCAAACCTAAGTAACCTGTCTCTGATATCGGCTGAAATTACGCAAAAAATCATTTGGGAGATAAGAAATTCGTATTACACAGGCACAATGTAGTGTTTAAAAAATGAGTAACGTGAAACAGCCAAAGCGTGCTTGGGACGCATACAGTACGAATAGAAAAAGGGTTTATAGGCAGAATGGCATTGGTACAAAAAATGTCTGGTGAAGAGGAAGAACAACGAATTAAAGAGACTAAGTATGGGATATGAACTGCAACGGTTGCATTACACCGTCTGTCGGTATTGATCACACATTATCTAACAGTTCTTTATGTAAGAGATACAATTCTTCAAGAAGCAATATTTTCTAGTTGTCTGGTGATCTCCGGAGCGTACGATTGCAGCGCCAGGCATCTTTCTAATCATTAATCCCATCTTCCTTCTATCCTTCTTTTCCACACATGTTCAATGGAATTTAAATCATGGAAATACGCTGGTCAATTCTCTTGATATCTTCACTTTCCAAGAGCTCCTCAACAGCATGCATTACTAAATATTTGTTATCCATATAAACAAACTAGGAACTAATAACACCCTGGAAAAGACACATATGGGAGAGGATAACTTCATCACAGTCCGGTAAGTAAACTTCTAGAGAAACTGTGGAGCTTCATCCATTCGTCATGATAATGTCTCCCCATACAATTACGCAAGCACCATTCCAACGCTCTTTCTCCCCGATGATAGTGGATTAAAGCGTGTCACTATCTCTTTCCATATCAACTGGGCAGAGACTCGTTTGCCAGATTGAACTGAATCTTATTGCTAAAGAGGATGTGAATTCATTTACAAAGTTTCTAGTCTTCATGCTGTCTACACCACAATAAACGGTGACGCCGGTAGGCTGCTGTCAATAGTATGCAGCATGCAGGCCATCTTTATGAAGTCGTCTGGCTACAATAAACCGGAACACCTGCCGTTCAGTTGCCTTGAGAAATGATGAGCAAAGTTACCCGCTATTTAGTGTCGATATTTTAGGGTAAATATTAGGTGCCCCCCTAATTTCTACATAACATAACATAACATATACAAGGTTATATAGTTTCGATATCTTTTCGCTTGCAGGACTAGACATAGGTCATCCGCCACCGTTGCTTTCCTTGGACGATGACCTCCAACCTCACTTAGAGTCGCACCTCTCGTCTGGAAGGTTTTACAAGCTGGTGAAACAATACTTTTATCAATTCCAAATATTTGGGCTACAGACAGCAAACGACGCCCCTCCTCAAGCTTGCTAATCATTCTACTACGTATAAAGAGTCCTGAAGTTTTCTTGTTGACTATACGAAAATATCACTTTCATTTTCAGAAGAATGCCTCGAAATACGCCTTCCTTTGTTAAGTTGCCTTGCACTGTGTGTGCTGACTCCTCGCTTTGACATGCCCTGATGCACCATATGACGTTATGGTGCTGACATTGCATATGCATTCCCTTTCTAGGTGGCGTTTCATTTTATACACCGCAAAAAGCCCTTTCATGGTTGTATGCTGAAAACTATATTTGTTATAAAGTTTTGCACACTAGTGTATGTGTATGGACATATATGTTGTTGTGTGAGTATGTGTTCGTAATAGATTGAATGCACACAGGCCCAATGTAGGTTGATTAAAATTTATTTTATTAAAAGAAACACTTCAGAATTCTGGAATATTCCACAAAAATTCTTCTATAAACCTTCACAATATCACAGAGTACAATTAGTAGTGACACTTCAAACTACCAAGAATGTTAAATGCAACAAAATGAAAAGCGCAGCTAAAGAGCTAAGCTAAACCGAAGATAGTACTCAGAACTCACGCTGAACAAACAGCTAACAACACGCCGAATAAATACTAATTCAGAAGTCAAACAACAAAACGCTAACGTTGGTATAACGCTGATTTTTGTTGTTTGACTTCTGAATTAGCTAACAACAAGTGAGAGCAGATGTTCTCTCCGGCGTTATATAGTCTTCACCCGGCCACCAAGTTTTTCTAGTACATTCTGTTTCTGAAAATTACTGGAAGGCAGTATGAAGGCCGAATTACAATTAAAGCTAATATAGTGATCCATTACATTTATTCAATTACAATACTTATTACGATGATACAGGGACCGGCCCAAAATGTCACCAAATGGTCTCCAGTTTTTGGCGACTTTTGGCGATTTCTCGCTAAATTTGACGACGAAAATAGTCCTTAAAAACATCGCCAACTTGGCGACATTTTACCAAAATACCGATTTACTGTGATAAATAGACTTGTCCCTGTACTTTTACTTTTTCGGCATAGCTCTTCTTTCTAGATTTTCATGTTATATTACACAGAAAAATATAACAATTTCTCACATAATTACACTAAAATCATCTATCTATGTACAAAATTCGTAATAATATATATATATAAGACATTTTCCTAATTTATCTCTCTCTTTGTGTATTGTAGAGACATTAGGTTAATTGGAAAAGCCGGAGAAATGAAAAATAGCTAACGCCTTCGCCGGGATTCGAACCACAGACCTCTGGAATACCGGCCCAGCGTGCAGAACCACTACACCACGAAGGCACGTTAGGAAGGCCGGAGAAATACCTTATATACTTCCCCTTTTAAAGGGCGACTGGAGTTTTTAGGGGACCCAATCGCCAAATCCTGGGTAGGGAGAAATCGTCATCATCTCCTACCCTCTTAGTTTGTGCGCCATTGTAGATACATTAGGTTAATTGGAAAAGCCGGAGAGATGAAAAATAGCAAACGCCTTCGCCGGGAATTAAACCACGGACCTCTGGAATACCGGCCCAGTGTGCAGAACCCACTACACCACGAAGGTACGTTAGGAAGGCAGGAGAAATACCTTATAGTATACATATGAGTGTGCATGTATATATATCTGTTCATCTACAAATACGTGACCTTTTCCGTTTTAATACAACACCCAACAAACAATATTTCTGTAGAAAAATATGTACGGCAACGTTGTCTATTGCCTGCCACTAAATTAATTGCGGTGTTGTTATCTTTTATAACAGTGTTCTTTTTTTATTGAAATAATAATTAAAGAGATATAATTCTCATGTTTAGAAAAATTCTGCTGTGGTTGAAATGAGCTAACGATGAAGGTGCGTGCGGTTATAATTTGAATAATAATGTTATTTACGTTCACACTAACTAACATTTATAACTGATTTCAATTTAACAGATGTCTTCATGGGCGTTTTCAGGCCTCCCTATCAATTTACAACACCTGGATTTGACAATGGTATGTATCCACCGCCTTTCTATAGGTACACTTGGACAATAAAGGCTTCGGAATATGAGGTCACGGAGTTAGTCTTTCCGGAATATGATGTTGTACATTATGCCTCTTACAATGCGATTCCAGAATGCAGGAATGTAGTCACTCTTCGAGCACAAGAAGGAAACAGCAAGCCAGTGCTCTTCACTAAGCAAACCAGTCCTCCCTATTATGTTTCTGATGGATCAGAGTTGGTAATGAATTTAACATTGACTACATGCAATCAGGATAGTCATCTACGACGAAGGAAAGGTTTCAAAGCATCTATTGGAAGCGCTGGTAAGTGAAAATTTCAAATACGCGAGTCCTTAAAGAATAATGGGCAATGCAGAGAAATAGTTCAGCAACTCTGCTTGGTTAATATTTATCGTTATGAGATATGAAAAATGTAATCATAAAAGTTTTTAACGACATTTGAAATGATTGAATTATCAAAATACTAAGAAATGTCTTGACAGTTCGTTTAGCAGGTTTTGCTATTTGCTTCATTGTTACATGGGAGATCACAGAATATTTTTTATTTTCCTCCCACATTCGTTGCATTACAGAATTACTGTTGAAATGATTGCTGTTGCCACAGGTGCCAAAAATCGCAAATATTTCTATCATCCGCAATGGCTTTGGCTTATTCTCTCAGATAAAGTCCATTTGGATAAGATATTATCTCACTGTTTTTAACCGCTAGATATGCTCCACCACACTCGATACAGAGTTTCGGGAAATTCTCATTCGTATCTTTGTAATCACGCACTTTTAAAGCTATTTTGCTGTATTTTAGAGCTTGAGTTTTAAAGTGTTTTGTAAATTTAAAATAATGTATTTTATAACCTGCGCAATTATTTTTACAAACTTTTTATATGATAGTATTATTCAGCGTCATGCAAGTTTAAATTTACTTTCCACTTTTAATATGCTTAAACTGAATTTCTGTGCATCTGATTACAAAAAAAGATTGCATTTAAAAAATAACACTTAGAAATTGCCCTTGTGGTGTATTCGAGATATCCATTATATGTCTCAAATCTACCGGAACAGCGTGGATGCTCAGTCTTTAAAGTTACGGAAATTCAAACTGTTTAATTATCTTCAACTAACTTTTAAAAACGCTATGTTGTAGAATAAGGTTTTACTTTATTCTGAACCAGTTATTTTTAGTTGGAATTTCTTGTTTCTCCTGATTTCAATTTCCTGCCGGAATGTAAAATTTGTGTGACGTAGATGAAAATTTTAAACGTGTTTCAGGAGCAGTATTTAAGCTGCGTGTTGAGCTCAAAAAGTAGTAGAGGACCGAGTTCCGATGTTTATGCTGCCAGTTAAAATTAGCACTCTAGCTCAGCGTTCGACACCTTTCAGTTAATACTAATATTTCTCAGCTCGGCGTTGCTGTGTGCAGTCGATTTAGCCTTAGTTAAGCTAAAGAGCCAGTCATTAGATTATCTTAATTTACTGTTGGATTGTTACATTTTTATTTTCTGTTACGTAGCCGTAAGTGGAGTGTGAGTGGAGTCAAATGGAGCATAAGCGCGAATAACAAGGAATGAAAACATTTATTTGACGTAATGCAGGATTACAATGCATCAACGTCAGAAAATGGACAGTTCAATGTCAGAAAGGAGACGAAAAGAACTTTTCGAAAGAGTAACTGTTCGAAGTTGCAGCCTCAAAACTCGAAAGTCATTCCGCAGCCGACACCGACGGACGTAGAACTGAAAGACATGTTCAAACATACCCCCTTGAATTGGCGGTGTCTGCTGAAGCACGACGATCCCATGCTGTCAGATACTCTAGTGTATCCACAGGCATCAGATGTGCAACCCCTTCCAGGTAGCCCCAGAAGAAGAAATTCAAGGGCTTTAGGTCCGGAAAACGTAGAGGTCAAGTAACAGCTCCATCGCGTTCAGTCTACTTCCCGGTATATGTAACAAGCATCGAGATAGTTATGCTCCGTAATCACAAAATGTGCTTGTGTACCATTATGCATGAACCACATGTTTTGGCGCTGGTATTCCCTGAATCAAATCAGGGAGGACATGCAAAAACAAGGTAACTTGTATTATTGAGTCTTTCGGGTAGAAGGTCTCAACAGATGATCTTAGAGAATCCCTTCCCAGATTTTGATACCGAAATTGTGTTGCACTTTTGAGGAGACGGTGTTGCGGGGATTTTCGACGACCATATACGTTCATTGTGCATCTTGACGACGCCTTCTCTTCTAAAGCAGGCTTCGTTTGATAATAAAACAGTGCCGGGAAACTGTGAATTCTGTGTGGCATTAAGCATCCAGCGTATGAACCAGGGAGTAGTTGGTATCGCTTAGGAATTTTTCTGCACGCGTTTTCTGCACGCAAAACTTTCCACAGCATTGCAATCGTATACTGGTCGATGGGGAAATGATAAAATTTTGAAATACTAGGTTTTCTGTTTCAGGTGTGCGCATACTGGTTCTTTCCTTGCATTATATCTCTTTATTTGGAAAGATCTCGTCTCTTGTAACCGTTGATCGATGTTCGTGAAGGTGGTATGGTGTAGACAGCACCTGCTTGGATATTGCTTTAGGTACATCCTGTGTGTTAGGCGTCCATTGCCACCTGCTAGATCGTAAATCAGATGCATATCCATATAATCCTCGTTCGTGTAATCTAACATGTTGTTTCCAATTGAAGTTTAACACTCGCGAATTATGCAGTGCCCACGAATGAATGCTTGCTCGCTGTTTTTATTTTTCTAGTACGCATTGGAAATTTTCATTCGAAAAGGTTTCTTATTCTTGACCACAGTGCTCCTAATCCTCGCATTTGTTTGGCCACTCTCTTCGTAAGGCTCACTGTCCTCTCAATGTCTATGTTTGCGACTTTCTCCCACTAAATGTGATTTGCAACCCACATTCTATTGTAATTTTTCATCTTCCTGATTCTTACTGTCTCCTCTAAATTTATGCATGGAATTCGGAAATACCCTGTATATTAAATTCACCAGATTATAGTTCACTACAACGAAAGTATTAGTGTAACGAAAATATTAGTTTCCATATTCTTAAACTAAGCTTAAAATTTGATATTATTCTTATTATATATATATAATTTTAGAAAGGGTTGGAAATGGCGTGCTATTTCTGACTAGTGGTTCACAGATTACGACCTTCGGATTTCGGAGCTTTAATTAAAATCAGGTCGTTTACAGACTTTACATACTGGTCTTGTAGAGTAAAAGGAACAAGTTTTACACAAGAAGTTGCATCCGAAACTGTGCGCTGCTACAGCAACGCGATTGACACGCAAAAAATGGTGTCAAAAGTGGCTTTAACATGATGTTATTAAAAAAAGAAAACCAAAGTGAGAATGTAACGCGAATAGACTTCACTCATTGTCCGTAGTCTTTGGATGTGCTTGGAGCGTAACGTGTCCTTGCGCGCCGCCCAGACGTTATAGTGGGTAGGGGAGCCTTCTGCGGTCTCGAAGAACTCGAGTTGGAATCTTGAAAGAAGGCTTGTATGTTTGTATATATAATGTCCATGCGGCATGGGGGCACTCTAAATATGCGGCGAGTCGAAAATCCTCTCGAGAGGTTGATGATAGGAGAAAAGGGGCGGTCTCGGACCCGTTTCCCCTGGGTGCTGTCCACTGGCAAAAATGGCAGCTAACACTCCAGAACTGTTAGATCATCCACCTAAGTTACCAATTTCACACATTAAGAAAAGAACAAAAAATGCAGGCACTAGAACAATGGCAACAAAGGTGGGTTACCTCACCTACAGGCAGAAGAACATGCTCGTTCTTTCCGAAGGTAGAAGAGAAGCTCCGCTCTAAAAATACGGAACTGAGTCATTATTTCACAGGACATGGGCCCTTTATGAGTTATCTTTATAGATTAAAACTTAGCAACACGCTTATCGCTGCGGAAAAGACGTAGCCCTGATCACTGCGTTTTTGAATGCAAAGATACTACACCATTACGTCAAAAGCACCCCATTGAACAGTAGCCACATTGAGCAGAGAACACCTGCAGAAATTCAGTCGCGAGGACAAAACTGAGAGACCTTTTAAAAAAGCACGCAGAAAAACATGCAGCAGTAATTGCTAACATACGCCGTATACTGCTATGGTATTAATTGTATTGCTATGGTACATGTTCATGTTCGGGGCATAGTTATTGTTCTGTAAAACTATGTGAATCTGCTCGCAGTTGCATGTAAGATATTACTGTTGTAGAGACATTAGGATTTTTTTCTTTTGGAAGCAGGCAAGATGAAAAATTAGCAACGGACCTTTGGAATACCGGCCCAGCGTGCAGAACCACTACAGCATGCCAGAAAAGCGAGAGAAATACCTTATACTGTGTAAACTAAAATGTGCTAATGTATTGTTCTTACAACGTTAGTAGCTCTATTGTTATTAGAATAAAAGTTTGTTAGCGTTCTGCACGTCCTGATTCTTAGTCAACGGGAGCTGCTCTGTATTATTGGTTTGTAGACAATGTATTTTTGTATTAATGTAAACTCCTCTGTACTAGGTTTACTCATATTAGATTTATGTAGTAATTTTATTTTCATTTAAGTGTACATAGTGACCAGGCCGGGTTTTCAACTGTATTATAATTCTTTATGTTAGGGGTATAGCTATTGTTCCGCTTTTTATATAAATGTTCTTTATAGCATGAAAGGGTTTTACTGTATATTATATTATTTATAATGTTTTAATATTACAGTATATTATATTATTTATAACGCTTTAATATTACGGTATATTATATTATTTATAATGTTTTAATGTAGTGTGCTTACAGTGTGAGAAGCTATAATGTAGCTGGTATAATAATGTGTTTAGTATACCTGCACATGTTGATCCTTTGTCAAAAGGATACTGATTTATTATTGTTTTGTAGTTAATACATCACCTTGCTAAGCATCTGACTCTATTCTTTGATTCCCATGATTAGTTTAATGAAATGCTTCAATTTTGATTTCAGTTGAGTGTTGTGGCTAGGTTAGTTCTTATTGTATTGTAATAGTATTAGTTTAGGATAAGGCATAGTTTTTGTCTTGCAAACTATGTAAATTAGCTCTCAATAGTATGAAAGGTATTATTATGTTCAGTTTACAATGTCTTAATGTATTGTGCATACAATGTGAATGCGTGTAGTAATGTAATTTGGATTAATGTAGGAATTCAGTTTTCATTTAACTAGCATTTTGTAACTAAGACTAGATCTTATTGTACTGCAATAGGTTTTGTTTATATTAGGGGTATAGTTATTGTCTTGTCTGAAATTTAAATTTGTTCTGAACTGCATGAAGGTATTTTCGTGCATAGCTACAATGTCTTAATGTATTATGCTTACAGTGTGAGTAATCTCTAATGTAGGTAGCGCAATAATGTGTTAGTGTTCCTGCACATCATGTTCCTCAGCCTAAAGGATGCAGTTTTATTATTGGCTGGCAGTTAATGTTTTGTTAAGGTAACTGCCTCGATTCTGGGTTGGATTTATGATATACTTGCTTGATTTTATTGTATTGGATTAATATGTGCTAAGGGCACAGTTATTGTTCTGTATGCTATGTAACTTTAGCATGAAAGGCTAAGATGCATAGTTTTTTAAAATTATTTTATGTTCTTACGTAATGTGCTAACAATGTGGGTAGCTATAATGTAGTTAGAATAATAATTTGTCTAGTGTTTCTGCACATCTTGAACTTTCTCTAAACGGTGTAGATTAATTATTTGTTTCTAGACAATGTATGGTTATGTTTTGGCTACTGCCTCAATTCTAGGTCTCCTAAGATGGAACTAATGCAATCTTTCAATAACTTCACCGCGACTTTCTTAGGCTTAATTACACATTAATTATGCCCGAACTGATATAATGTATTATCATTATAACTATTGTGAGATAAATTGTGATTAGGGTATGTATTAACAGCCTAAGTATGAGGCATAGTTTTATCGTGCATCCACTGTAGAATTGTTCGTAGGTACTATTTAATTGAGTTGTATTGAATGTTGCAATGTACATGAGGTGTTTAGATCGGCAATGGCTTTACGTCCATATCGTGACTAGTCCTTTGATGATTGATGACAGAAAGGAGTTAGGTGGGAAGTGCTCTATTGTATAGTTTACAGTATTATGATCAAGCCTGAAGATTTCAAGTCACTGTTAAGTTCTGAAGACTAAGTTTATTAAGTATCTGGGTGCGGTTAGTACTTATGTAAATTTTTTAATCTAGGCTTACCAACATGGTTGATTATATTAGACTCAGGTTTTCTTAAGAGAATTAGGTTGTGACCTGTCAATACTGGTTCTTTGCTGTAGAATAAGTTAAGGTTATTATGTCTTTGGTTCATTTAACTCGAGCAATACTTCAGCAGTACTTTCTATTAAGAATAGTACGGTTTTACATCTATGATTCAGTACATTTAAAGATTTTCTTGTGTATGTTACTAAACGAAGTCGAAAATTGGCTAAATAGCTAATTCTGCCTGACCCCCAGAAGTGACGTAGCGGAGAGTAGACAACTTCTGCGGAGAGGATATTATGGTGTGAGGCTGTTAAAATAGCTTGAGGGTCAGCAGTCTCTTCTGCAGTGTAACGGTAACGGGGTGCTATCCTTCAAAATTGGGGGCAGAAGTAAGCGAAGTAGTACTGCCAACCTGTTATGGTGCTCAAGGCTCTTGCCGAAGACAGGAGCAATCTTGCACTCCTTGCAACGATGTATTTCGTAGGCTTGTCCTAATGTTACTGTCAGACAAGTGATATAAGTCACAACACAGCAGCATGTGTCCTGGTGCAATATGCGTATAACACTAAGGTAACGCACATCCACACCGTGTTCGATTGATCTGATTCTTGTCCCGAGTTTTTCTCAAATTCTCGTAGTACATCTTCCTCTATCGCTGGTGTGCTTGGAGCACGTTACTGACCGATGTGGCTGCTTACTCGGAAAGTTCCAAATCACTTAATCTGTGTGCAGTTGTCCAAACAGTGGATGACTTGGCGGACATCTGTTCGGCAAGCGCTCTTTGTACACGTGTCTCACGGATTGTCCATTTCCATTCAAGACGTAATGCATATCCCATAAACGTAATGCATATCGGCCATTTCCTCGTTACTAAATTGATACATCCTTCTCCTGCGATGTCCTTGCCTTAAATGATCTCTCTTTTTGGTGTCCAATAAGCTTGCGAACATTATTCTCTAGCTGTAGCTGATCATGGTTTCGGACACAACTTCCTATATAAAACTTGTTTGTCATGGTTTGACAGACCAGCGCGTAAATTTTGTAAACGACCTTTTGGGATACATGTTGCAATATGGTAGGTAATACTAAAGATCGGAATGAATCGTAGGTTGTTTTACGCTTTAGCAGAAAGTAGATCGTCACTGTTCGAAATAACTAGCTAAAAATAGGAAATTATAATTTATTACACACTTTAACTGACTTGATCAGTTACTTTATGAAAAAACTAGATATTTTATGAAATACTGAATTTCATACTTTAAGGGTAACATACGTAAGCAAATTTCTGTGCATCTAATATGATATATAAACTTGAAAACTAATAGGAATATTTATTATTTTATTGGGGTTATGTCAAAGCACAGAAAAACCATCAATCTAAGGTGAGAGATGCTTTGAGGGGGACTTAAAATAACAGAAGATCTAGGTGTTGTAATGCATATTAAAATTAAGCCTAGTGTAGTTTTTAATTGTATTTAAATATCGTATAGTCTTTAGGGTGACTTAACCTCAATATTTGGATGCAACACATTTTACATTCTAATTTTAGCTTGAAAACAAATGAGAATATACTTTTGATTGATGCACAAATCTGCAATTCAGCTTTTTCTTCAAATTACTGTGGCCATTTTTAATGCAAACTATGCATTTTGCTGCTGTCTTTCTTAAAGGCGAACATAGGTAAGATCTTTCTGAAGTATTCATAGCATCCTGATTTTAATGCGTTTATACTAATAGGAGGTTGATAAAATCAGACATTTACTTTTTCATCTGCAGCGTAATTCATATTAAGACAAAATTACATGTTATTTATCACAGATTGTCCTGGAACTTATGTTGGAACTGGTGAAAATAAGGGAATTACTTACATCCGATCAATATGCAGCGTCATTGCCTCAAAAGAGTGAGTATTTGTTTTTTCTCCCCCTAAATTAACGTTCTTAAAAGTCAAATAGACTTTCAACAGGTTCGTTTGCAATGCAAATATGCAACAGTGTCCGGCGAAAACATCGCGGGCGAAAACGTCGCGGAGGAAACAACGCAAGGCGGAAAACGTCATGGTACAAAACATCGTGGAGATAAGAAAACAAAGAGAATGTATCGCAATTCTAAAACGTCGTGGTACAAAATAGCGTCATCGCACACAAAGCGGTTTAAAATCATCGTCGTCGAAAATATCGTGATAAAAAATAAAGTATCTATAAATCATTGCATGACGGTAAATCACACACATACATTTTTCAGGTTTTGAAAGTTGTAAATGCATTTTCGTATAATGATTTGGGAGATCAAAAAGGAAAGAGGGATATTTTTACTTTTATATTTTATATTTTTGAATACTTTTTTTACCGCGAAGGGAATGTACTGAAAGTGCTTTTTTCCGAAGAGGCTTGAGCATTAATTTTTTCGAACTTTCTCTAAGCGTTCATTATTTGCAATGGATGTCGGAGCTGCCTTAAGGTATAATTAAATTTATACTTATTTTTTGCTTGACGTTGAGAAGTTACGGTCATCACATTAGATTCTTAATTAATAGTGTTGTTATTCGAACCTGAACAGTCCTTTTTATGTAATCGAAAAGAGATCGCTTTTAAGTGTTTTCTGATGACAGAAGAGGCCTTCCGATTACAATCTTTAATTCTATTCCTTTGAAGCAAATAAAGAAAACTCATCCTTTCCTACCTTAGTAAATCTCTTTTAGTTTGAAAACTCCCGCCCAGACGGTATAGTGGTTAAGGGAGCCTACTGTCGTGTCGAAAGGCCCAGGTTCGGATCCTGGAGAAGGCATGAATGTTTGAAAATGTATAGTGTCTTTGCGTAACGGGGCCACTTTAAATATATGGTGAGTCAAAAGCCCTCTCATGGGGTTTGGAGGTAGAGAAGAGGGGTGAGACACCTCGGACTAGTTCCGGAGTCCTCTTCCTTAACATTAGGGTGTAAAGCAGAAGTCCAGCTTGAGGCTCAGGCAACCATTCTTCCATGAAATTACACGGACAAAACAACAACAATATCAACACTAACACTCCCACATGTCTTTGAGTAATGATTTGTTTACAAAATATGCACTTCATTCACAGTAGTTAATTATTCTTGAACGGTATATTTTATTTGGCGTCAATTTGATTTCTCAAAATTTTGGCGTCGGGGTAAACGCTTTTCATAATCTGTTCTAACGTTATATTTTCCGATTGGACATACATAGCTCGTTCTCTGTTACTTCTAAGTATTTCATTCTTTAAAAAAATCTAATAAACCTTTCAGATCCTACTTTTTAGATTTATTTAATCTACTAAATTCTAATGCAAGATCTGCTTGTATAATTTTCTTAAGAATTGGCGTAGCAGATTTCCATACGAATTTTAATCTATTCCCAACGATTCTAAATTTCTGATCTGAATCTCAGCACGATCAAATAGTTTTCTTAAACCAACAATGTCGCTGGAATTCTTTAACTAGAGGGATACCTCACAACAGGCATAAATTAGAATTAGTTAGAAGATTATTTTGTCCGTATCTAGATAGCAAAAGTTCTAAAGCTGTGTCATAAATTTCTTTTAGTGCTAAGCCGGAAATAGTTTTGGCAGCAGGCCCTTCAAGAAAATTTCGTAAATAAATCAATTTTTCAATTTTTCTCAAATTAGGATTTTTATCGATAACAATTTCATATTGCCCAGTGAATTCTAACCATTGCGAGCAATCGCCAAAATATTTATTTACCATCAATTTGGGCAATTTGATCGAAAGCATTTCAGTATACTGAGAAGAGATCGGGTAAGGTTTCGGACAGTACTGTAGTCTGACTCATACCTGAAAATCTGTTAACTTCGCTACTTAATTCTTCAATTTTTTTTTCATTCAGTTTACATTTGTATTCTATTAAATTATCTAATTTTCCTTCGCTATTAATTACTTCACCTTAAACATCTTTTTCATAAGTTCAATATTTCATCATCAATCAATTTAATGTTATTAATTTTTTCAGTTAATTATGACAAAAGAACTTTCAAATCTTTCGAATAATTTTTAATAATATTCGTCGATCTTTACTTCGTTATTACGCCCTTTTAGGCTGATCCATTCTTTTTCAATTTAACAGTATCCGTCTAGGAACAATAAAACAAAACTTATCTCTTTCTCTTTTTTTTTTTTCATGTATCCAAAGTAAAGAGGATCCAAGCATTTGTAGTTAATCCAATACGAAGAAATTGGCTTGAGATTCATTTACTAAATTCCGTTTTGAAAGTTATTAATAGTTTAAAACACGAATATGTCAAAGTTCTGGGCCCTACACGGGCGATATGCACCATGACGCAAATAACAATAAAACAAAACTTATCTCTTTCTCTTTTTTTTTTTTCCCATGTATCCAAAGTAAAGAGGATCCAAGCAATTTTAGTTAATCCAATACGAAGAAATTGGCTTGAGATTCATTCACTAAATTCCGTTTTGAAAGTTATTAATAGTTTAAAACACGAATATGTCAAAGTTCTGGGCCCTACCCGGGCGATATGCAACATGACGCAAATAACAATAAAACAAAACTTATCTCTTTCTCTCTTTTTTTCATGTATCCAAAGTAAAGAGGATCCAAGCAATTTTAGTTAATCCAATACGAAGAAATTGGCTTGAGATTCATTCACTAAATTCCGTTTTGAAAGTTATTAATAGTTTAAAACACGAATATTCAAAGTTCTGGGCCCTACCCGGGCGATATGCACCATCGCAAATACAATAAAACAAAACTTTCTCTTTCTCCTTTTTTTTTTCCATGTATCCAAAGTAAGAGGATCAAGCGATTTTAGTTTAATCATACGAAGAAATTGGCCTTGAAGAATTCACTAAATTCCGTTTGAAAGTTTGGTAATAGTTTAAAACACGAATATGTCAAAATCTGGGCTCTACCCAGGCGATATGCACCATGACGCAAATAACAAATAAAACAAAACTTATCTCTTTCTCTTTTTTTTTTTCTGTATCCAAAGTAAAGAGGATCAAGCAATTTTTAGTTAATCCAATACGAAGAAATTGGCCTGAGGTTCATTCACTAAATTCCGTTTTGAAAGTTATTAATAGTTTAAAACACGAATATGTCAAAGTTCTGGGCCCTACCCGGGCGATATGCACCATGACGCAAATAATCAGCATCAAAAGGTTTAAAATAAAAGATGTTTAATATTTATATTCATTCACATTGGTGATTTCATTTAAACTTAATCAAACAAAATCAAATATGGTGATCATCAAAGAATCGCATCATTTAAGAGGAAATTAATTCCTCCTATCCAACTCGCATACACTAGACCATACCTCTCTATTATCCTGCTGTGTGATTGGCGACAGTCAGGTCAGTATTCTACTACTACCCTGAACGTCTGTAGTAGCTGAGTTGATTCTGCATTTATTGAGTAAAACTTATTGAGTCATGATAACATCTTTGCTGGTTATCGGGATCAGATCGAAGCGGGTTTTATCGCTGAAGACTATTCTACTCCAGTCCGAGAGGTTCTAAATTGAACGAGTAAGGAATCACTGCAAACCTGCTTGTAGTGTGCATAGATATGAGGTGATCAGTCTAGTGGGTTTCGAAAGTGCATATCTCTTCTTTAAATCCCCTATCAACCATCACTAATAGTACATCTGGCGTCGCATCTATCTGCTACTGCATGACGGCCCATATTCCACCAAAATGTGTTGCGTCGACTGCATGAAGGTAGACTGTATGCCCGAAGACCTGTGATTTGTGTTCCTTTGCTCCAATCGCATTTCAGAGAGCGGTTGAATTGGACCAGCTGGGTACCAAAGCAGTAGCGCTAGGTACTGTTTACGAATGAGTCTCGATTTAACATCCAGAACGATTCCCGAAAGTCGATGAGATGGTGAGAGCCAGAGATACTGGCGTCAGTCATCGTCGAAAGAGATCATTACAGAAGGGGAGGCTTACTTGTATGGGCTCAGATAAAAACAAAGGGCCGCACCGACTTCTACGTGATTAATAGTGTTTCCGCACAACCGCCCGACATCGCGACGAAATTCTGCACCATCTTGTGCGCCTTTTTATCGTTGCAATGGGTACTGACGCGATATTTACGGATTATAATGCCCGCCCGCATAGAGTTTGTGTGGTGCGGAGTTGTTTGGAGCGTGTAACTATTCCACATCTGCTTCGGCCTGCTAGATCAACGGGTCTGAACCCGATAGATCATGTGTGGGGTATGTTGGAACGATGGATAGCAGGTCACAGTCTGCCGCCAGCCACCCTTCACGAGTTCCAACATGTGTTACAACAGAAATGGGCGCTATTGCTACAACAAGCGATTAGCGATACTATTGCCAGCTTGCCTCGCCGTTGTCAAGCATACATTTCAGCTAGAGAGTATCATACCCGTTAGTATAATTCACAAGTGCACATCAGCGTAGCCACTGAGGGATAGGTTTCGAAAATGGACTAATCAGCTTCTACTGCTCTTGTGACGATGAATCTTTGAAACTGGGCATATGACCGTATGCTGTTTAAGTTTTAATTTGCATTTGTTTCGCAGTATGGCGTAATAGAAGAAATTAGCGTAGTCCTTTCGCTTTATTAGTTTATTTAATCGTTGACATTTCACTTTCCCGATTTTTATCACTCATTGATATTCGGATTGATGTTCGCTGCATATTATTGCTCTTTACATCGAGAAAATGACTCAAGCTACATTTAGCCTCGAATATTATGCATTTACTAACACATGTGGATTAAAAGAATTCAAGTGTATACATATATTTTTCTTTATTGAGCTGAGATGGACTGGAAGTGTTGCAATGAATCTAGTATTTTCTTATTTCAGTGCTTGTATTCTTTTGATTTTGAAAGTGTGTAAGATTCAAAATATATATTCTGTAGGACCTGATCATATCTATTGTAACATTAAAAATTATATATAAGTAAATTAAATATATTCTTCGTGAATAAGATAAATTCATTCTGTTTGAAGAGTATTTCTTGTGCAGACAATGCATTTAAAAGTGAACAGTTATTAAAAGTGAAATTTAACATACCAAATGAATATTCATGGCAAATTTAATATGACAGTAGTATCGCAATTTTTACCTTAGTAATCTGAAAGTCAGTTACACTGTAGTTTCAGTCTAAGCAGCATAATTTTTACGATGCCATGTCTGTAAATATATATATAATATGTACCGTTTTAAAAGGCAGTTTAATGTTAAATTAAAATCATTTTATATAAATTAATACAGAAGAACTTTACAGAAGTAAAGTTTTAAATAACATTATGCAACTGTAGCAGCACGAATGAAATTCCTAAAACGCATTGAAAAACCATATTTGAATCTTGGATATGTATTTCAAGTTCTTTTCAGCTTGAAATAGTATTCGCAACATCAAACTCATTCTGATGAACCATGGGTAACCCTAATTAAAATAAAATTCTATTTGCAAAATGTTCGTACCTTTTAGTGCAGCTATAGTTCTGCTTAAATATTAGTAACAATTTAACTTTGTATTTATTTTTCTTTTACTTGTTGCATAGTTTTTCTCTTTGCAAAATAACAGCATTCATAACATTTTAAGTAGTATATTTAAGCCTGAACAATTAAATGAATCTGGATTAAATGCTATTCCAAATGTATAGAAATGTATGTTTCTTCATCTGAACTGAATGTAGTAACTGAAACAAACTTTAAATAATAATTACAGCTACATTTTGCAGTCACTTACCCTTAAATACGAAATGTTGTAAATTTAAGTACATACCTTTACTTTACGATATGAAAATAGTTCCTTGAAAATAGAAACCGAGATTGATCAGTCGAAGTTTTGCGGAGTATCCAACATGTGTTTGTATTTCATTCAAATTGTTTCAACCAGGTAGCGAAATCTTCACAATTGCTTATATTTCATCTAAATCCGCAATGAAAATTTTCAGAAGAAATCAACTATGCTTTAGCTATTTTGCACAGAAAATTGTGTGATAAAATGTTTTCACCCATCTTAAAGCACGCCAAAGGTCATTTGACATGATAGAAATATTACTGGAAGACCATTGGTCCATCCTAGAAGCCACTCCCTCGGTGGCTAAACAGATGTGCACTTGTGCAATATGCTACCCGTTATTAGCGTGATGTTTCCATTGTATTATTTTGCCGACCCATTTGGTCTTTCGCGATGTTGTGGTCGTAATACATGTATCTTTGTATGTCTTTACTTTTCGCTATATAGTCTAGTAATGCCATATCAACCTCTTGGATCAATTTCCCGCATGTCCATTATATAATTTTTGATTTATTCTGTGTTTTGCCTTTGTTGCTTATTTTTTGAGCAGGAGTCTACTGTAGCTTTTAAACTGAGTGACATACATAATATTCTTTTTAATACATAGGTATCCTTTCCCGTACAATTTCCCGTACATTTCTTCAGATGTGTCCAATGAATACACACATAGTTGGATTTTTCAAGTCTTTCGAAATTACGTGATAAGATTAGAATTCAACGATTTCGATATCCCAGCTGATTCCGGAGCAAAGAACTGCACACCCGAGAGTGGAATTCTTTGGATATATAACGGCATAGGTACCAGCAGCGAGAGACTCATTGGAAGCTTCTGCAACTTAAATCGGAAAGGCATAGTTTACTCAACTTCCAACTATATGACTTTAGTGTTCAGCACGAGGTGGAAAAGGACGGGCAATGGAAGAGGCTTCCAAGCAGTATTTTCAGCTGAGAAACAGCGGGAGGAAATAAGTATGATTTTTAATCTTTTCTATTATGTACTCAAACGAATTTTTCATTACATTTTTTTTCTTTTACTTATGTCTTGTAAGTAATTTTTTATATTATTATTTCTTAGTCTTTCATAACTCCTCGAGTTTAAGAGTAGTTTCGGAATTTTGTTTGTACCAAAAGAAATTTCTGAAAGCATAGGTTTTTGATCTTGATGTGTGGAATGCGTCTAAAAACTTTTAGGACTTAGTTTGTACCTTGTCATGTTTACTACTGCTTGATTTCTGCGAAGATCTCGTCTTTTGGAATATTGTTTTAAGCTGTAGTTGCGGTTTTCTTAATCTATTTCGCTATTATATAAGGCTTAACTTTGGGGAATAGAAAGAAATGTATGGGTGCCATATGACACCATATGACTTCCTTTTACAGCCTATTAAACTGCGCAGCGCTTCGTTTAAACGTAGTTCTTCTAATTATTATAGCTTAATTGACCAATCCGTCGTAGCAAATTGAAAATGACATCAAAAATTGCAAATTTTGAATTAAATATATCGGTCTTTTTTTGTCGTATGGGAATCAAACTATTTATAATTTTGTATTTTCATAGCGAGTATAAGAACCGGGAGAGCGGAAGTTAGATTTCATTATTTGCCAAAACTTATTTTATTTTGTAATCTGTGCGAAAACAGAAATAGTTTCATCATTTAAAATCCGTCTGTAATTGAAAGTATATGACTACAAGTAACCACTGCAAAAATAAAGGCCGAATATGGCATTTTAAGCTGGCTAAGGGGGTGGGTATGCATATATATATTTGGTATTATCGACTGCAATGAAAAATGCAGGTGCGCAACTAGATATTACAGCAATACTATATACAAAATTTCAACCTTCTGAGTTAATCGTTTTTGAATTATGGGAGATGCATACGTATGTACGTACGCACAGACGTCATGAAAAGAAACCTCGTTTGAATCCATTTTGCAGTCCATTATGGAAAAAGAATCCTTTTTTCTGCCCATATGTACAGACGTCACGCAAAAAAATCCATCCAAATGGAATCGGGAACGGTCAAAATGATATTTCCTTTGAAATATAGTACTCGAAATTCTTCACTATTACTGTAATTCCTTTAATTCGTACAAAGCGTTATTTAGGAGAAGCAACTTGAGACAGCATAATGATAATTGATGACCATTATCTTTTGGTATGTTTGCTTGGATTTGTTAAAAAATTTAGTCCTAAAACTCTGTCGGTGCATTTTTTATTTATTGTAAATTTGCAAAGTTAATATTGTAGTTGTTTTAGCTCTAATATAATATACGAACAAAACCCACTTTTCCATTAAAAGTACTCTAGTTCCCCCCCTCTCATGCTCAGACATAAGAAACGTACTGAAGAATAATCTTTAAAGCAATTATAGTTGAACCATTTCAGCTCTTTTCTGCAGTAAGTTTTCATGTTTATGAATTACTCAGTCCCAGAACTCATATCTTTTTTACTAATTCAAGCCTAAATTTATTGGTAAAAAATATGGAAATGACGGTGATCGAGTAAAGGAACTAACGATGATCTGAACATACTGTACTTAAAGGGATTTTATTTGAAGAGGGCTCATATATTTACTGTGTCCGAGAATATTTCGTTATTATAATTTTAAATTCTGATTAATAGGTTTTTGTTTTAATGGTAAATAACACGACCAGACGAGAAACTTCTTTATTTTTTATTTTTCAGTTTAAAGACAGGAATTCGCTGAATTGTTTCCAAAGGTATAAGCTATTTTTTATATCGTATTCTAAATAAAGTACTATTAGGAATTTATCTGAAATGTTTCTATAACATTTCATTTCAGCTATTTGTAGAGCTTCTAATTCTCACATCAACAGCTGACAGTGTAATTAATACGCTTCAGAATGCTAAAATGCACATTTTCAGTATGTTACTTAAACCCTTTGAACAAGAACATATCTCATATTTTCTGAACCAATAAGATAGAATATATTCTGAAGAAAACTTGTTAGCAGCATGAGATAGAAGTAACATAACTTTGCATAACATAACTTTGCATTTAGCTGTGAACAAGTAAATTCAAAGAATACCAACCTTTGTTTTGATTAATAACATTTCTTGTGGCAAATGGATCTAGAGGCAGGTACAGGATACAAATACAGACTGAAGCAACCCTGGCACCTGTACATTCCCGTAAGTATACATAGTTATCCGCCTGTTATTAAAATCATTTCAGTTTCAAGACTTTATTAAGCGTCTGAGTTTAATAGACGGCGATTTGTATATTACAAGCCGTGATAGCAGTTCGCACTTTTCAAGTAAAATAATAACTAACAACTAATTCGTTTATTAATGAAAAAATAATAATTAAAAATTAATACTAAATTTAAACTATTTACTCAATTTTGGAATGATCTAAAATTTTTTTCCTTGATGAAATTTTATCTCTTACAAAGAACTCTATCTATGTTTATTTCATATTGTTAAGCAACAGATTTTCAATTGTATTCTCTGTTTCGTAAAAGTGCTGACAGCGTTAATTGATAAGCATCTTTTTGTTCAAAAATGTTTCGTAGAATTTGCAGTGCTCTAGATTCGATTGATGATGGCATTTCACCACTTTTCCCTGTATCGTTTTCACTGGCAGTTTCTGAAGTTCTTTTATGTGGTGTGTAGAGTCATTAGGTTAATTGGAAGCAGAAAAGAGGAAAATGTGCAACCGCCTTCGCCGGGAATCGAACCACGGACCTCTGGAATACCAACCCAGCGTGCTGAACCACTACATCACGAAGGCACGCTAGGGAAGTGGGAGAAAATACCTTATATACTTCCCTTTTTAAAGGGCGACTAGGGTTTTAGGGGACCTAGTCGCTAAATCCTGGGTGCGGAGAATCATCATCCACAACCCTTTTAGTTCGGGCGCCACTTGTAGAGTCATTAGGTTAATTGAAAGCAGAAAAGATGAAAAATATGCAACCGCCTTCGCCGGGAAGCGAACCACGGACCTCTGGAATACCGCCCCAGCGTGCTGAACAACTACACCACGAAGGCACGCTAGGGAAGTGGGAGAAAATACCTTATAGGTGTAGTAGCCAAATCCGTCACTAGTGCCATAAATGATGTGTAGCGGCCGAATCCGCTACCCAGATCACCTGTTGTAATCCAAGGTTGAAATGAACTTCTAACTCAAGTTCTAACAGTAATATGAATTTTAATAAAAAAAATAACAAATGCGATTTATAAGGATGTAAGACTTAGATGCATTCAGTCCCGTAATTTCAGAAATTTGTTAAACAGGAATGTGCGCGATCAACAGCACACACCCGAAGGTCATAGTTCTAACAATCGAAAATGCCTATAGCCATAGGAGGAAGGTCTTAGCAGCTCTCAAAAACACCCTTTTTTTTTCTGGCTGCCAAAACTTTTCTAACTCACGATGTAGTTACCTTCGCTGAATTCCGGGAGGGGGGAGAATTCCTTACTCGTACATAACAAAGATGTCCACATTCTCACCCCGCTGAAAGACTTCTTTTATCCCTGGAATTGTTGGAGTGACCTTCGAGACGGAAAAAAGAATAATTACGAAGGGACCTCGTTGCTACATGATTTCTCCTTTGGTGTGAAAGAGGCATCATTGCATTCGGTATTCGATCCCCCTGCAAGAAATCAGAAAAAGAACATCTATGCTGCCTTCTCATAGCCGGTGTTAATGCACCTTGTCTTAATATTGTTGTGAATTGACACACCATAGTCTAAAGATTAATCTTCATAACTTCTCTCACTAATGCCTTAAACATTAGCTGTGCCGCCCAGCCGGTATAGTGGTTAGCGTCGCTGACTGCTGGGCCGAAGGGTCCGGTTTTGAATCCCAAAGAAGGCATGGATGTTTGTAAATATATAGTGTCGGTGCGGCATGGCGGCACTCTAAATATGCGGCACGCCGAAAGTCCTCTCGTGTAAGTTTGGTGGAAGGGGAGGGAGATGAGAAACCCTCGGACCCGTCCCCCCGGGGTGCGTTCTATCAAAATTGGGGGTGAAACTGAGCAAAATCGCACTGTCACCTGAATGGTGCTCATGGTTGTTGCCAACGGCAGGCGTAATCTAGCGGTCCTTGCCACGAGGATTTTCGTTGCTTGGGCTGACTACGTCAGACAAATGAGCATAAGCAACAACAACAAAAACATTACCTGTAGTTTATTGTCCTCTGAGGCTCCTTCTACATAAAACCCACGTTTTCAAAAACAATTTTCAACTGATTTGAAGAGATTAATTCCTACATTGACTACATTATGCATTAGCTGTAGTAGAGATATCGACTTACTTATCTCCTTTGAAGTGCTTCTATTTCTACAAAATTCAGTTATATTAATTATTTACTGACATTCAATTCTATGCATTATTCTTTCTATAATGACATTTGAAAGCTTTATAATGCTCTAAAGGCTGAATATTAGAAGTTGTATTTGCAGGAAGAGATACTGATGTTTTGGAGAAAGTTATCTTGGGTTGTGTGTGCTGGACAGTTATTTAATTTCTAAAACTATTTTATCATTTTACAGTCCATTGAATACTGATGTTATTTCGAAAGAAAATAAGTAAAAATGCTATTTGTTACCCGTGAGCTATGGTAAGTTCGAAGTAAGTTCTTGATTCTTTACCAACAACATTCAAGTTTTCTGCTTTTTGTGCTGTATTCTTAATTTTTGAATCCGTATTGTACATTAATAACACGGTTAGTTATTCTTTCAGCTTCTTAAGCCAAATGCTGTTTTATTTTTAAATATTAATGTGTATTCTGGTAATAGAATTCTCTATGTCACAAATTCTCCTCTATATCACAAGTTTCTTGTACTTGCATTCAATGAACAGCCCAAGTAAAACGTCTTGTTTCTAGTTATTAGGTGCATAATTATCCGCGTTTTCCTTCTCAACATGCAATTTTTAAAGAACAATGTTGGATTTCCTTTTTGTTCAGTCTACCCTTACCACTTCCTATCCATTCAAAGACTCTTCTTAATGTACGGTAATGCTTAGAAGCATTTCATGAACTTTTTTTATAATTCTGTAGGAACGTAATGTGTCTGTGTTAAAGGAGATGGTTTGAATGTTGAAACCTTAAAGGATGGGACACAGATTTCGCCACCTATCAACTGCTACTTGAGAAAGATTTTTGACTAAGTTACAGTGCCTCCAGAGCAGTGAACGGCAAACTCATTAGTCAAAAGAGCCAAAGATCAGCAGGTTAATAATTCAGGTTTCTTTTGAGAGCCAAATTTCCTTTCAAGAATTCAAATTCCTTTCAAGAATTTCTTTCTTAAGAGTCTAGCTACTAACATAAAATAAAACCGATAACATAAGAATTTTATTTATTGTCAATTTTTTTACATTAAAAAATATGACAAGACACGCATTTAATGTCAACAATGATGTTGCATTGTCTTGGAAAGTTTGGCTAAGTCAAGTTTGTATGCCGTTGTTTTTGATTTTAAGCCAATATTCCGGCTTCTCATCATTAAGACGATTACTCAATTTATTTTTGTGAAGTTTCGTGCTTGAAAAAGATTTATTCGAATAAATGCGTAAAACCAATGAGTGAAAAGCAGCAAATGCTGTTTTTTTTTAACTGTTCATATTTTTGCGAAACACCTATAGAGGGCGCTCTACGTTCCCTAAATCTCCGAGTTACGATTGGAATTAGAAGTTGCGATTGCAAGCATATGCATTAAAAAAAAGGTCTATATGAGAGTCGCCGACCCTAATAATTTACTGGTAAGAGAGCATTTATGGTCTATTTCAGTAACCTTAACTTGTAAATAGATTAATTGTTGTGTTTTTAGAGTTTTTAGAGTACCGTTGATGGTTTTAAATCTGAACCCACTGAACGCATTATTTTAATTGACTTTGTAAGTATAACTACTTTGCTGGATTTGCTATTACGTGTGAGTCAGGAATACTAATTTAGGTGATGAAAATTATCATGCCTTCCTTACCAGGTCATTCACATAGACCACTTTTGCTGTGAACTAAGATCACATTAATTTTTCTCCAGTTTATCCAAATCTTCATTAAGACGTTCAAATTTTTAGCTTTATAACTTTTTGTACTTTAACACAATTGCGTTTTTCAAAACAAAAGTATCAATATTAAAGATAAAAATAAGTTCTTTTCTGTTACCTCAGCATTGAAAGGCTAACATTTGTATGCTATTTCTGAATTCCTGAAAGAAAAAGAAGAAAAGATTGCCGTATATTTAAAATTGTTGTTTTGAAATAGTAAATGTTAATTACCGAATTATTTTTTGACGATATGAATAAAAATTTTTGGATCCTTTGATTGTCATTTAGGTATGGATAATCAACACTCTTCTCGAGAAATATTTTAATTTCTAATAATAAAGGACGCGAAAGTTTTAGAATGATTCCTTTCGAAAGGGAAAGTACCTTTTCATGCTGCAGAAGATCCGTGCATTCACACTCCATTTCAAGTAAAAATTCTTTAAATTGGCAATGATAAAGAGCTTTAGCTGCAATTGTGTCATTCTTGATTATCAAATCGTAACACTGAACATTTTTTTTTCTGTACATGTCTGCGCTAAAAGCGCTTCTTGTCCAATGATTCAATGGTTAATAAGTACCTTGTGATGAACTTTTTCTTCAAAATAGAAATGAAACCTTTTCTTATTCTAGTCATATCTTTTACCCCATAAGTTGAAACTGAAAATAATTTTATCGAGTTCAATATAATGTTTCTTAAGCATTCAGTGACAGCATTTGCAATATCCTAGCCATGTGTCTGGCCTTTAAGTGGCGAAAATTCCGAAAGTTCTTCTTTGGGACACTTAGACGAAATAAATCGAATAAACGTGAAACATGACTCCTGTCAATTATGTCACAAGATCCATCAATAACTATAGAAAAAGCTGAAACCAGTTTAAGATCTTCGATTTGCTCATTTGTTATATTTGAAGAAATTTTGACTGTTCTGTCTTTTTCTGTTTTAGTGGACAGTGGTAACTTTAATTTTTTAAGCATTTCTGCCTTATTCTTAAAATCCCGAAAAAGCTTTTCTGATGCATTTATAAAATCACTCATAACAAATAACTAAATAATTTTAATAATTAACTTTTAATGTATTCAGGTCTGTATATGGTTTGCATTTCTTAGTAATCTCTTTTGATTAACAGCAAAGCTTGCAATATTAATATTGCTGGAGGACTGCGTCTATTGAATACAGAACTTCATTTTCCCCGACTTTTTTTCCAAGTTCCTGAACTGCTTTCTTCCTCGCATCCTGGTGCGATATTTATTACCAAATGACGCGTGTTGAATTGTAAAGTGTTTCTCTAAATCTTATTTTTTTATTGTGTGCCAATGTTTCGTGACAAACAAGACAGGTTGAAAGGCCATTTGAGTTTTAGATAAACGCGAAAGATTCGGTCGATTTAACTTTAAATTCACGCGTTTCGTATTCTGTTGTTCTTTGCTTCTTTTTTGTAGCTATGTCAAATATGTGGCATCCAAAAACATGTTTAGTTTTGTAACAATGAAAGAAGCAATAAAAAGCTATATAACAAATTATTAAATTGGTGATTGGAAGGTGCAAGTAGATAAACGCACAGAGTAGGTAGATATTCTCGTCGCTTTCATGAGCATTTTCGGCGTGCCAGGCACTGACCACAGTACAGTATACACTGACGGATAAGCTGTGACTTGCTCTTGTTCAACTCGCGTATTCCGCTGTATATGCCCTGCATCGCATACCCTGCGGTACGTCAACCCGTCCGACACTTCACTCGCCCTCACATAATTAAAATCGACCGTTGCTGACTATTGCTTTACAGGATTGCTTTTGTTAAGTAAATTCTACCGTCTGAAGACCACTGCGGGCAACGAATGCCGAACTCAGTGTTTCACAGGTATAGGGACCAGGATGAGGTAGAAAATTTTCGGTGAAATTCGCATTATTGAAATATTACATACCTGACTGATAAAGCTACTGTCCATATTAACTGAATGAACTATGAAAAGCTTTGATAGGTACAAGTAGCATATCCTAAGACTGAAGAATCAGTGTTTGGCCAGTCTGAGTTTAATAAGTGGCGGAGCTGAAATAAAAGCGGTTTAATAAAGGAGATTTTTCTATTGATTAGTATGTATTTGTTTCTGGAAATTTGAACGTAATAAGCAGCTGAGTTTATTAACAAGTGAGTTTAATAAGCGGCAGGTATTATATTAGGCATCTCTAGGCTTTACTAACTACTGGGTTTCTATCCCAGGTTTGAAGAGGAATATTCCGGGGGGGGGATGGTCTCCCAGACAGCTTTACTTTCTCCACCAACCTTTCGAGAACACATTTTGCTCGCTATGTATTTTGAATACCCTTGCCACATAGACACTATACGCTTCATGCCTTCACCAACACTAAGCATTCATGCCTTCACCAACACTAAGCATTCATGCCTTCAACCCCTGGCCCATTGGTATAGCATATAACAGTCAGCATCACTAACCACTATATCCGCTATTCTCAAAATAACATTGACCGTTTTATAAAAATAACTGTTATGCTGTGTATCAGTATATCGTAGCTTATCGTAAAAGGCTCCCTATTTTATGAGCATTTTGTTCAGTCATTAATTTATTGTTTTTATATGTTTATTAAAAATGCTTACATTAGTAAAATAAATAAAACGAAAATTTTATGCTTATTATATTGTTAAATGTTACAGAGACATGCGCAGAGCCGCTTGGTATGGAATCTGGAGAAATCTCTAATTTACAGGTGATTGCAACCTCTAACGAAAATGAAGAAAATTATTTCTTTACGAACGGCAGATTAAACTCTGTCTCTGGATGGTGCGCTGCGTTTCAAGATTCTGCTAAGGAATTTATGGTGAAGATAAATTGTCTTTCAATACTTAAAATTATCAAAATGCTGTTTTGATTTTTCTTGTTTTGATAATATTGTAAGAACAAATTATGCAATTGAGAAACATATAAAGAATTACAAGTTATTAGTTAAAAGATTGATAACATACAATTAAGATCTATCCTATGATGCATTTTGAAATTTAATTTAGTGCTTGGGATATTTTCTCTTGCATGTTCACACGTTAAAAGTAATTTTCTCTAGAAAGATTCATAGTAATACCCCGATTTACGTCAGCTTTGAAATATGTCTCACTTGGTACATGTTTCGTTGGAAGAGAACATTTTTTATTTTGTTTGAGATATTAGCTTGAAATGCGACTCGAATTCGATGAGTCACGCCTGCGCGAATTACACTTGTTTACAATTTCGAAAGAACTCTACAACTGCCCGTGAGCGTCAGTACGCCTGTTGTTATTATTCACACAGCCCGTGCTATAACTCTAAATTCAGTGTTTTGTAAATACATTCACAACGAGTTTTCGGAAAGTTAATGAGAAGAGTCAAGCAACGAAGAAAATTTTTAGGATGCCCGGAGGTGAAAAGAGAGATTGTTGTAAAGCACGAAGATGACATACGTATCCAAGATTTGGCTATTAGCTGGCAAAATCGATTCCCAAACAAAAATCAGAAACGAAAAATTGCTTTTGGCCTGAATAGCAGAAGAATATTTATGTACAGCTCATGTGGGGCAGTGTTTAATTTACATACACTATATTACTATACAAATTGCGTCTGTAATTTAGTGTTAAACAGGATTATAAAAGTAGTAACAGAGAATTATTATAAGAACGGATTCAATTTTTTCCCTTTATTTCCTACTGGGAAAATTCGTTTGATATACGTCCAATGATCTGGAATGAATTAATGACGTATATCAAGATACCAATATATATGTCAATTTGATACTTCCAACGAGAAAGTATACTTTCTCCATCGGCTCATTTCGAACTGTGATAAAAAATTTCTAACGATAAGAAATTTAGGTAAATTATTTTAATAAATAAAGAATGAAATATTCCGGCTCATTTTAAAAACATAAACATTGTTACAAGAGTTAAAATCAACCCACTTTATATAACAGCAGCTAGCGGCAACTTTGGTTCATATATCTTTCTCTAGAAAATTATTTGGCGGGTGTTTTTTGTAAGAGAAACGATTCCGGTGCTTTCTTCAGAACCTGTGATCAAGTTTTAGGAAATATTTCTATAGAAAAGGAAATTATTGCATTTAATTCATTAATGAATAAAAACTCTACTTTAGTTAATTCTCAAAGATAAAATTTCAGGTCGATTTTTGGGAATTGGTTACTGTGAATGGTATCGTTCTACAAGGTTTGAAAGGAGCCTCACAACGAACTGCTGTGAAAAGATTTTACATCTCTTTTAGCAACAATTCTTTGGTCTGGAGATTTGAAGAAGAACCCATTGGTCGACAGAAAGTAAGATAATCCAAATAATTGTCAATAAAGTCACTGTGGCTTTCATTAAATTCAATTATTACAAGCATTTTAAAATGTCTCATTTACAAACCCAAAAGTTGTTCTTTGGTCCTGATATATGTCTTAAAAATATTGTCTTATCAAATACTCGAAGATAATAGTTCAGAAACTGCGATAAGTTTCATAAAAATTGGTATAAGAAAAATCAATTAGTTGATATCACAAATATGCACGAAACGTAATAGGTATACATGAGACAAAAGTGTGCAACTGATAATAATGAATAAATAATCTAAAATTCGGTAAAATTTAAATGTAAGTAGTTAAAAATTAAATAGATTTTACTTTATGATCTATGGTATGTTACATTCTTTACAATTCTTCCAGTATTTTGAAAATGCTATTTCTCATAGGATATCTACAGCTGTCTGGTACAGAGGATATTTACATATTTTAGGACGAATTCGAGACCGTTTAATTAATAGCGTTACTTTGGACTGTATGTCTGCATCGTGATTTCCATGATAGAAGAGCTTTCCATAAAATTTCCAGATATTTTCATTTTCATTCCTTTTCCATTATTTTACAGAGTCCATCCATCGTGGTGGATTTGGAATTAGAAAGAGCTATTTTCAAGAGAACAGAATCACAATTGTTCATAAGTGAAACGTCAGGAGATTTCGCAGGAATACGTTGAAAATGTATAAATGTATCAGGCTTATACCTGTATCAGGCTTATACAAGGAATCCATTAGTACTTTTCGAAATATGATTTGCTTTATCCTGATGAAATTTCACGCTTTGAGAATTATTGGGATGAAGAAATGGAATTCCTTCTGTAGATATCGCCCATGGAATTTTGTCTTGATAGTAGATTACGTTTAACATTTCTTTTTCAACTTTACTTATTTTTAATTTTCCACTATAAAAGAATCATACGACAATCATAAGTCACTTACTTGCTAAAACTTTCTTTGCATTGGCGGAACCATGTTTGTCCATTTTCCCTCTTCGTTTCGATAAAAATAGGCCATTTTTGTTGTAGACGTTTAGATAAATCGATGCTTCATAAAGTGTCACATTTGTCTCCTGCTAAATACCCTTCATACAGCTCTGAAAATTGTTCTGCGTTGAGTCTCATTCTCGGCAAAGGCTGCTTAACATTATTATTTTACTTTTTTAAGTTGTAAATCTTGGTTTATTATTTTATTTATTTTTGCAACAGATGAATTTAAAGAATCTGGAATTGATTTTGTATTCTCTTATTACCAAAGATTTAACTTTAGTAACACTAGAAATAGCATGTACCTTTTCCGGGTTATGGTTATGGTTATGCGCCACTGACTAGGCTTCCGACCTAAGGTAAAACCGAACCTAATGATGCCTGATCAGTAGAAAAAACAACAAGCAGCCACCACAACACAGCAATGGATGAAAGACGAAGTGCCATTAATGGTTCTTAATCAGGAATGTCACAGAAAAGTACTTTACAAAAATGATTACAGGACATCTTGCATAAGATGCTACATATGACGATAAGCAAAACGTCAGTGTATAATATTATCGTACAATAATATAGTGCATTTAGTAATAAGATACATGAATACATAATTTAATGGTATTCCATAGTATAACGCCTTAATATTATGAGATAGAACTAGAATAAAGTACGAATAATACTTTAAGTTAAATACGACTTAATGTGAAATATGACACATTAAATTTATGTTGTTAGACATAATAACTGTAGTCATGTAAAGCGTTTTATAACACGTAAGTAGTTACTTAAGAATGATGTAAACAGGTGATATACGAGTGAACCAAAATATGATAATATATTGCGTTAGGTGATTATATTAGTTGTTTTAAAATAGTGCCCCACTTAACACTACATATACCTTACAAACATTACAGCAAATAAAGCGTTACATGAAATTATTCAATGAAACAGTTGTACTATATGTAAAATGACAAATATGATATTAATTTAAAAATATACTTGACGCAGGAATTCAATAACAATATGCAAAGTATTATAACAATTAAATCAATACTTAAGGTATTTATGATATAAATTAAAAAATTACTATAATAAATAAAAAAAAATATTGCAAAGTTGTAAAAAAGAGGGAAAAGGGGATGCGCATTTAATTTTGGAGAAAAAGAAAAAAAAGTATACATGAAACTATAAAAAAGGAAACTTAAAAAAAAAAAAAAAAAAAAAAAAAAAAAAAACCTGAGAAAGAAGAAGAGTAAACATTGTTTCTAATTAAAGAAGTACACGTTTTGATATTGTTAAAGTGGAAAACTATGAGTTTTTCATACAAACTTATACCAACGAGCTACAAAAAATTGTGAGTGCAATTTAAATATACAAGATAGTAAATAAAAAGTATACTGGTGAAAAATAATATTAGAAAGAGAAAATCAACAAAACTTACTAATTTAAACTTGATTCAGGGATAGAAAATGTATTTAAGTTGTAACAAATTTTTATACAGTTACTAACATTATTTCATGCTCATTTTGATTTCATTAATTGGCTAAGCCAAATTGCCCAGTATTGTTCTGAAGGTTGTCGTAGATGAAAAGTTTTGGTATGTACGCAATTAAACGCATAGTGATCAGTTGATCTCTGATGACCGCAGCTGCATAAGTCGTTCTCTGATAGACCAAATCTATTCAAGTAAGTCATAAAAGGTCTATGACCAGTTGTATAATTCGTGATTGTATTATAAAACGTAGATAAATCAGTAGATACTTTTGGGATGAACTTGTAGGTTCTGCGACCCGTTGTACCGTTGTTTCAGCGAAACTTCCATTCTTGTAACAAACTAACGAATGTCACTTTCTTAAGGAAAGATCCTGGAAATGGTAATGCATATTCTGGTAGATGTATGCCCATAGCCGCATTTTTGGCTAATTTGTCTGCTTGCTCATTAACTACGTTTGGAGTATTCTTTCTATGTTGTTTAAGGTCCATGAAATAGTTGAAGAAAAGAATAAAGAGACATGTTACTTGTTCAAGAGGTCTACTAAAAGCAATGCTTTATATAGGAATGAAATAAATGGAGCATTTTTAAGCAAAAACATTGGTGAAATCCATGCTAAACGCACGAAAAGTGTATTCGTAACTAGACGATATCCAAACAAAGTACTAAATGCCCTATTATTTAAGTGTTCTTATTAAATAACTTGTTTATCCAGATCATCCGAATACTTATGTGAATTCATTTTCATAACGTTTTCAATTACTTCCTTTTTTCACCAAAGACATTCTGAATAACTGTCATTTGATATTCTGATTATCTAGTATTTTAAAATCTGCTTGTTTTACTTTTCAAAACATCATTTTGCTAATATTTAATAAACCTATATTTGAAAATAAAACTGAAAAACACTGTCCGAAGACAAATGTGAGCCACCGTATATTCTTCTACCTGACATTTCGCCTGAATATGAGCTTCTAGTACATAACTTCTGAGTGGCTGTTTTGAAGGCTGTAATACCTGCATCTTTAAGTGATAGTTATGCCAAGTGCAGTTATTTGTGTCATGAAACTATATGCTTGTTTGCTATTAGTACATAAGTCCAGTTTTTTAATAAAGCCATCTATAATTAAGACAATAACAAGCCGACCAAGTATTAGTTTAGAAGTCAAACAACAAAATTCAGCGTTATATTTTCAAATTTTCACAGGACTAGTTTCAATGGTTTTACTGAAACATCATCCTCAGCTGCCAAAGCGCAAATGAATCTTATGTCTTATCTCATTTATTTGCGCTTTGGTGGTTGAGGATGATGGTTCGGTAAAAACATCGAAACTAGTCTTGTGAAAATTTGAAAATATAACACTGATTTTTGCTGTTTGACTTCTAAATTAAAGGCCATCTATTTCTAGCAATGACTAACCCTTACTGTTAATAATAAAAGAAGAGCTTACTTCCTGTATTGCTGATTCGGGTGATACTGTAATATCTTGACTGTAAGGCGGCTCTTCTGTTCTCGCAATATCAAAGTTGTTCGATGTACGGATCTCATCTGTATCGTTCAATGTGTAACACGCATGCAAGTTCATAACTCTCCAAAATCCATTACAGTCCTCAGGGCACAAAAATAACAATTTCTAAATCTTTATATGCAAAAGAAATCATTTCTCTTCAGAGCAAAAATTCATTACGCTTTGCAATGCTGCTTTTATTGTTTTTAAATCGCTTGGTTTGTTAACGGAATATCAGGAAGATTAAATCTGAAAATTAGATATCATACGTTTTATTAAATGGCAACACGCACGAGTGTGTAAGATAAAGGTATTTTATATCGAGATGAGGCAACACGTTGCTTTTAACATGCAGATATCGGTTGTTTGATTAGAATTGTAATACTAGTATCTTACATTTTACCAAACGGCAGCAGTCTCGCGCGTTTGAGATAAAAATGCTGTTATCTCGAACAGTATTGCCACTTCCCACCTTTAAATCGCTGAATTTATTAATCAAAATTTCATTAAATAAAACGATTAATTTCGAATAACAAATAAAATATGAATTTCGGATCGGGTGGAGGTATGTTCAAAATTGGTAGCTCTAGGTGTCGCTGTTTCTCCGCAACACGAAGAACATATGCACATACGGTCATACAAATTCTTCTTTATTTAGTAAAGGAAAAAAAAAACTATTATAAAAAATCATTTTAAAATTTTTTAATCAATTTAATTTTTTAATTATTTTTTAAAATTATTTTTAAGTACGAACGTGGTAACTCGGATCTCGTATTCCGGAAACAGCCTAAAGTATAGTTAAAGACTGACTACATTTTAAAACACGTCAGCAACATTTGTTTCTATTATGACACTTTGCTTTATTCAATTTTATATCACTGTAATATCCTCATTTATGTTTCAGATCTACGTATGTGACCAGTGTGAATCTGACGATTACACGAACGATCTAGAAATAAGATTTAATTTCCTAAAGCCGGTATCAACTAGAAAAGTGCAGATTAAAATTCTCGAGTATTACGAACGACCATGTCTACGATTAGAAGTTCTAGGATGCAAAGGGAATGGTAATATTAAAAAAAAATCATATATCGAATCATTTAAAGCTGTTTCTTTACATTCATTTATTACATTTCATTCTTTACATTCTTATTTTTAATTTTGCATTTTTGTGTTACATTCTTTCTATAATGTGCATGACTTTTTTATTACACACTTCCATTCAGTAACCATAAGCATATCTTTCTCGTTACAATTTTACTGCAACTTTGCAAAACTGTTTTCACGATGTAACACATTATGTAATAACTCTGTCGTTTTACATTTGTCATTCGGTTTTATAGCTATGAAAAGATGGCGTGATAAACGATATGGTGGCAGTAAACGAGTAGGAAATTAAACAGAAGAAATCTGTAAAGGTTAGGAAAAACTGTTTATTATAGAAAAACTGTTTATTATAAAAAATCCTTGACGGATGTGATCTTGTTATCACACACTCAATGCATGCAATGTCAGCGACAAACATAATAGCAAAACGACGGGCACAAACATTGTTCTTGGATACAGAGTGTTTTCCTCATGATACTTTCCTTTACATGCAGTGGAATTATTCCAATGTATACGAGACCTGAGGTATCTCAGGAAACAGAGGTTCATTCATTGATGTTAAATCAATTGGAGCAAAAGCTACACAAACGAAAAGTTACGTTAGATGTCGCTTTGTGATCTTAAAGCAATCACATAGTCAAATCGTTTCATATGGTGAAACGATTTATATGGCATTTGTATGCTGTTCTACAAAGCATTTTGTGCCCAGTGTTTCCTGGAATAATTTGAATGGTCATTATTGATACATAGCTTGCAGAGGTGATATTGCAAGATGTATAATCTGTGGTGACTGAGTTTCGAAACGACATGGATCAAGAGGGAAATTAGTGGTCACTCCAAGCCATATAGTCATTCTGGAATCTTAGAATGGCGTAAGCAACAAGTCGGAAGATCAATAAGAATACTTAATGAAATATTTCCTTCTTTCATGGACCTGAATAGAAGTCTGTCACTTTGCTAGATCTTCGTCCCACGACATTTTGCATTTTATGACAGCATTATAGAAACAAATTCAGGGATCATAAAATTTAAGCATAGTTGTTATAGACAGATCGAGATCGTGTGGAATGCATTGGGACTTCTCATGTATTCTGTGCATTGGTTTGATGATCTTCCCGCAGGTGATTGCAGCATCCACCCGGGCTGGGAGATGCCATATCACTTTAAGTCGCAGGTGCATCCCTGTTTTCGAACTTGCAGATTAAAAATAATGCACAGCTTTGCATTCAACATCAAACTTCGTCTAAATTATTGATTAAAAGTAAAGTTTCTTTAGCATTAAGAATACTTGTGCAGTAAAGATTTATCACGTTGCTCCTTCGAAAGCTTCATGTATATAAAAGACGAAAATTTGTAAATAAAAATTATAATTTAAACTAGAAATAGCCCGTTAATTTCTCATTTTAATTTTGGTATACTTTTTCTACTGTAGAAACAGTAATAAGGTTTTCTGGACTGCGTAATTTTTAGAATTATCCATACACATAACATAACGATGATGATGTAGTTAACTCAGAACATAAATCAAAAACTTTTCTCTTAATAAGCTTCCATACTGGAATACGTTCGCAATTTGTTTCTCCTCTCGCCGTTAAGACGCTAACGTGCTGTTTTCTTCCTATCGGAACAATACAAGAAATGTAAATGTTTTGAAATAGGCATGATTAGAGTGCCAAGTGAATTGTGGCCATAAAAGGAAATTTAAATAAAAATGAATATTTAATCTGCCCCGGCTGCCAGGTTTGTTCTTAATTATGGATCCATATATACGCTATTAGTGTTTTTACAACATTATTAGAGCTAATTGACAGGAATTCCTGCCTGAAAATTAAGTTCATCTGTACAAATGAACCGTAACTTCAAGTGCAGTTTATCTACAAAATTCAAACAATAGTGTTAACGACAATGACTAAAGATTTCCTATGACTACTAATTTGTTTTCATTTTGCATCCGTACGAAACATCGCTCTTGATCTATTGAATATCCGAAAATGGGGGGGGGGGAATCTGTCATCTGCAGTGCTTCAGAAATTGCTCCAGGAAAGTGTTTATATAAAAGTGATGTAATGAGTATTTAAAATGAACGATCCAAATCATTTCAGCTACGCATTTTCAGTAATATTGAAGATCGTTAATCTCTGTTTAAAGAACGTACTTCAATTTTATATGTGATAAATTTATTTTCAGTTTCTCTCTTCTTCGTTAATGTTATTTTCGTCAAATGAAAACTGAACAATCAGGTTCAATTTTTTAATGGAACGACACTCAGATAGTGCTGTGGATTTAAAAATTTCACATAAGTGTTTTTATGAATAAAGTAAGTTAATGCAGCCAGAAATGTTTTAGTATCATCCATATAGGAAGTGCTAACAATTAATGGTATTTAAAACTTGAAATATAAAATTTTGTTTTCTTATTATATTGGATTTAAAAAATTTAGCATTCTTTTATGAAAATGGTTAAAATTTTACACTATCAAAACATTTAGTTTTTCGTAATTACGTTTAATTAAATTGAGTAACGAATTTGCAATTATTTTATTCTGGGAAGGTTACTAATTCTTAACTGATTACTGTATTTTTGAATTATGCTCGCAGTTAAAATTTTTGAATTAATATTGATTGATTATATGTATAGGCATTGATATAAAAGTTCATTTTGAGTGTAATATAGAAAATGTTTTGATATTGAATAGTGCTGTAACGAATATAATTAATTAAAAAATAGGCTCACCACCCGCCCGAGCGGTAAAGTCGCTGAACACTGGTAGTTCGAATCCCGCGAACGGGTTGGCTGCATGGGTGTTTTCGTAATTTTCCCCATGTGTAACGTGTATATGAGCCAGGTTTCCTTAGAAAGTCCTCCACAGGAATTCCTCCCCTTAGGCAGATAGCCCTCGAGGCATTGCCGTAATAAAATAACCTAACCTAGCCTAATTAAAAAATATTAATAATTTTAGAAATTGAATAATTACAGTAAAACTGATTGCGTGTAATATGATTAAAAGCAAAATGTATAGAAAAGTTGCTTGGAATTATGGTAAATAATATGAAAATTTATGGATAATTGTATATTAAATTTAGACTATGTTGAGACAGCACTGGCCTATTATTACCTCTGTACAACTGTTCTTTTACCCTTCTCAAAAAAGAAAATGTTAAATACCCTCAATTTATGACTGAGTGTAATTTTTGTTATATATTCTTAATGTTTTCTATTTTTTATTCGAACGTAGTAGTGCTATTCACAAAGGCCAGTTACTTTATGCAAGGAACGGAGATTTTTATAAGTAGCTGCAAAGCAGCCCTTAACCACTGAAGAATAATAATATATGAGTTGATTCAAGTGGATATACCTAATAGATGGAAACGTTTGCACTTAAAGAAAGAATAAACGAGAAAATTAGAAATGTAATACAATAATGCCTGTAAACACCATAATTTCAATAATGCTCTTACAAATGATGTGTAGCGATCACGTGGTGAGAAAGATCTCGGTGGCTTCGAGTGAGTAGTTGCTTGCTCGTGTCACCATCTAATTCAGCAGTCATCAACCCTTAGAACTTCACATATATAATTTTATATTTGGCGGTCCAATAATATGAATTATTTAAAAAAATCCCTTAAGCCAGACTTTAAAAACAACATATTAATACGCAAAAACAATATTCAACTTTCCAATGCATGTAATTCTAATTTTCATTTGCTAATATAATTTTCGAAACATTTGGTCTTCAGCAGCATGCCTTTACGGAAATTCAGGCTACGCCCCTGATTATGAGTAACAATTAAGACACTATTAACATCTCACTGGTACACATATTTCGTTTCCATTGAAAAATTATATGAAAAGTGCAAAAGTCTTACCTTCTTGTACATAACGTTTCACATTTCCGTAATTCTGAAAAAAAAAAAAAAAAAAAAAAAACTTCACGAAAAGCAGGGACAAACCGGCAAACGCAAAGCAATATCAATAAGCTGAAAGTGTTATGCCTCCAATTTTCAATTATTGTAAACATAATAATCATCGCTTACTCAGCAATGGCGCCATCGATCAACAATTAGACAAAAGAAAAACGGAAACTTCCAGATGCAATCATAAACGAGAATGCAGATGGTTCGCATAAAAATCCATCAAGTTGCCTATATTGACACCAAGAAAATCTGTGCTATTAACGACTACAATAGCATATGTTTAATTCGACAGGAAATAGAATTCCATTATTGATAACAGCAGCATATCCATGGATGCCATCTCTCCCTTTCAAATGTCGCTAGATACACCTGCAAAAATAGCTAAAAAGTCATTAAATTCAGAAGGAATTTCACTAAACGTAGTAGCTAAAGTTAAAAAAAAGTACAATCCATATTCCACAATAGGTTTTGTTACTCGTCATTTTTTAAACTGAATCTTCATAAAAATATCAATAATGTCCCAATTTTTTCTGCGGACCATCAAAACGTTTTCACGGACCAACAGTAGTCCGTGGACCACCGGTTGACGACCGCTGGTCTAGTTGTTAGTACCAGACAAAGAGCTTCCGTGCGAGAGTTCAAGCAAAGAGTTCAAAAATTCCAATTCTTTCGAATTTGCGAGCGTTGATTTGCTCTCGAGATCGCTACAGATATTAAAATGCAAGTAATAATAATAAAAATTATTTATGTTATAAAATTTCGAATTTTTTTTGCGATTATTCAAAGTAAGGGATAACTGCATAAAACTTTTATAACTGTGATATTGTTTGAAAAGCTTGAAAACTTTTACTGAAAAAATATGATTATGTGTAGTCTAAAATACAAAGACATTTGGTGGACGTTTGGCGCAGCTACATATACTAATGTATTTTATTTATATTGTACTTCGGAATACACATAGTTTAAAATTGATGGATATTATTGTTATTGTTCCCTAAACTTCATTTACAAGGGCATTTTTTCTTCGTTTTGAGAAATTTTCATAAATTCGAATTTTAGAAGAAAATAAATAAATAAATAAATAAATAAAAGGGGGATAAATGAAATTCCTAAGAGTTAAAATTAAGAATTTTTTGATTAATTTAATTTTAGGTGAAGAAAAACAGCTGAGTGTCTTAAAAATTATAATTAAGAATTTTTTTTCTTTATTCCCAGAAAATTGATTTCCACATCTTGGTCGAGCAGCATTCTCTCGTGTTATTCCTAAAGAATTTAACTTACCCAACAAATAAAGAATATGACTAGAATCTTTTCAGCGTAGAAAACTCTAATGTGACAGACAGACTTTGATGCTAAGCTAACATTTAATTTTTTGATGAAAATGTTCTTTTAAATTAGTTTACTGATTAGAATGTATTGTGTATTTTAAAATCTGAAATCATTCTCTTTTATGTGTAATTATCTTCTTCCTTTACTCTGACAGTTATGTTACTTTAATATTTGAAATATAATAAAACATATTCCTCAAATTCTCATACTTTTATTTATACATAGTGGAGATGAAAATATTTCATGTTCACTATTTTATTTCATGCATTATCTATAAATTATTTATTGAAATGAAATCCTATCGTCCACCATCTTTTAGTTCGGGAGCCACTTGTAGAGTCATTAGGTGATTTTGAAGCAGGAAACGTGAACAATATACTATGCCTTCGCCGGGAATCGAATCCTAGATCTCTTGAATACGCGTCGAGTGTGCTTCCAGTTATACCACGAAAAGATGCGAACCAACCTTATAATTTAATTAATAAATTAAAAAAAATTTAAATTTTAGCAAACATGTATATACGTAAAAAAGCAAATTTCAGATAAATAAATTATTATTATTATTAAAAATATTATTATTATTATTATTATTATTATTATTATTATAAATTATTATTATTAAATAATTAAAAAATGTGCAAACATATAAAAGATTTAATTTTCGAACTAATCTACAATATCATTTAAATTCAGATAGCATAAGTAAATCAAGTGCAAAACCAAACCATGAAAATAAATTCACCAATTTAGCAAATTAAAATTAATCTCATACTGTCGCAAACATATGATTTTCCGAAACCAATAAGAATTTCTACTTACTGATATCAAAATTACGTTGATTAAAGATCAGTTTGAACATCTCTATCACCATAGTGTAAAGTTTTAAGTTATTTGCTGTCAAGACTTTTACTCGTTTTTGACCAAGCATGCCTCATTTAGATATTTCAGTAAGACATGGAGATCAGTGTCAACTACAACCACGAAAGGCTTATGGGAAGGAGTAAAGTAGAAAATGGCGGAGAATAGAATGTCTGAGCAATAGAGAACGAATGTGGCCGTGAGAAGGCCTCAGACCAGCGTGCTCAGACTTAGGCAAGTACGTGGAATTGCTCCTGAAAACAGTGAAGAAATGGGGCAAGTCAGTGTGCGGAAACTGTACGGCGGAAATAAGCACAAGTACGGTCGTACTCCCAAGCTACTCCAAAGAACACGGCGAGGCGCTTCATGGAAGTCGGAAACGTTCCGCCTGGGTCGTCTCTGGATAATCGCTTCTGAAAAACTATATTAAACTTTAAAGGAGTCCTCTTGGGCGTTAGTTAAAATCTGAACTCATTCAGATTTATTTTAGATTTTTTAATTCTATTTATTTTGAATTTAGAAGTTTTCTTTCGTGTACTGAGAATGAATGGTTAACCTTTAATTTTCTTAAACTGCTTCTTTATTCCAGCTTTCCTCGTGATTTTGTTTCATGCGTTGTCTTAAAAAATAATGTGCATTTTAATAACATAAGTGTTTTAGCGAGACTGCTATCATAAATCATCTCAATAATATTCTAAAATAACATGTTAGAATAAATTTGTAATTCTATTGTAAGGCTTTAACAAATTGAAAGGAAAAAGGAGAGCTGTTTGAATGCATAATTAGGGAAAAAATAAATAAACAAATTATCGGTTGTTCAGTTTTCATTCGAGTGTGCTACCATTCGAAAAATTGTAAGATGCTCATTCATAGTTAATCTGTATGTTAATTATTAACAAACCAAATATTTAAAAGCAGTAGGTGCATAATTAAAAATATTTTTTTCTACTTTTAATCTGATTGATTTAAATCAAAATAAATTTAATTCATAGTCACTCTAATTAAAAATATTAAATATTTTTATAGAATTACGTTACATATTTTTTTTTTCACTTTGGAATATACAGAAAATACGTAACGTTACCGTGTTAGTCTAAGTTTCATCTAGCATCCTACAAAATGTTTCGCAACTGGGCCATCTCTATCAATATTCTCTATTGATAAACTATATTAAACTTTAAAAAAGCCGTCTTCAGCGATATTAAAATCTAAACCCTTTCAGATTTTTTTATTCCTATTTTCTACCAACTCGTAAGTATTTAGCGCGTTTCATTACTTTTTATTTTCTTAAAATTTAATTTTCATATATTATACTTATTGTACATAAATTTCAGTTCGTTCTGGTTAATATTTTTAACACATTGTTGTTATAACAGATGAACTAATTAATTAACTGCACTTGGTATTTTGAGAACTTCAGAACATTATAAAAACAAGCCTGCATCACATTAATTCAGTCTTTATGCTTATTTTGGATTTTACTGATTTTTTGTGGGGTGTGTGCTACTGGATCATCATTTGTGTGGATGTCCGACATAGATGCAGTACTGCCAAAAAATTTTGGCAAATGGAATCAATGGTTTGTAAACTCCAAAATTCCTTCTGAAGCTTGTTTATCGAATTAAACACTTGGCTTACTTTTAACAACTTTGGGCCAGACTAATTTATTTGTTTTTGTTGATTCCTCACAATAAATATCTTTTATTTTTCATGAAATAATGATTTTATTAAAGCTTAAGGTATTTTTATGGTATACGAAGTTTTGCCTAGTCACGAAAATTTTTTTATATATCTATCATCTTTGACACCTTATTCATCATAAATATAGATGAACAGGTTCAAAATACTGGAGCGCCGTTTCCATGCACTTAAATACATATTGTGCGTTAACAATGGTTAGCAGATAAGAGTCTTGAATTTATATTCTCTGTATATATTTCGTTTATGAAAAGTGAATATGCAGTTTCCCACGGGTCAGACTTTACTGTCTTTCATAATTTGTATTATCATACTGTTACAAATATTTAATTTGAAAGAATAGTGAAAATTGCGTTAAATAGCTCTTGACTCTATTCAGAGATGGCGCCACCACAAAAGAAAGATAGCTCGTTACTATTTAACCAAAGAATTTGTAAGGGAACATTACAAATTCTTTGATTTAACATATTTGCAATTCACTTCATTGAAACCTAGGAAAATGCTATAAACACATATCTTTACCAATCACAAAATATGCAGGTTTTTAGTAGAGTATGAACAACTGAATAAAGTAACACCTAAGAAAGAACCTGTGTGATAAGAGAATCACTTTCATCACAAAACTACAGAATTATGAAGAATTAAAGTATAATTTGAAGGTCTTTAAAATCTAGGACCCTGGGCCCGGAGTTCGTGGGCATAAGAATTCGGTACTTTAGAATATGATTTGAGGTTAATAGTTCAAGAGCAAATCATATTTTAAAGATGCTCTAGTCGGATTCTTCGTTTAGGTTTGACTAATTTCATTGAAATAGTACTGATTTACACATATATAACGTTGAAAACAAAAGCAAAATTTTGAAACATGCACTTATATTTCGAAAAGTTTGCAATGATTTTGTTGGGAAGGGATGATTTTCCCAAGCTATTTTATTTGATATGTTTTCTTTGCATTTTCAAATGTTTCTAAACAATGGCGCCATCTATGCGAAATATATTGTATTAAAGGTTTAGAATTCGGGCTTTATTCTAACCGTTCTCTCACGTAAACAGAAACATATTTTGACAGTGTGAAACGGAAGAACAGATTAAGCATTTGATAGCAGTAATTATCAGCTGTTCAAAAATAATACTCTTTAATATTCTGAGACCATAATTAAATTTTAAAAGTGAAACACTACACTTGTAACACAATTAATATATAGTTCGTTAAGATTCGTTGTTGATTAGTGCGAGCTTAACTGGATTATTTCATGCAAAATAATCGTTTCTTTATTACGCAATTATTTATTTTTACCTTTTGTTTCTTATTTCTTTGTTAGATTAATTTGCGATCCGATCTCCCCAGAGTAACGCTATTATACCACGAAATGTTTGTAAAACTTCATCGTGACCTAAAATGCTCATAAAGGCAAACTGATGTTAAGTTCAGGGGCGTAGCTAGAGGGGGGCAAGGGGGGCATCTGTCCCCGGGCGCAGAATCCAAGGGACGTCAAACTGATGTTACGACATTTTAGAATTAAATGTTTTCCATTCTTGGCAGGCAGTAGGGGGCGCGAAATCTTCAGTTGTCCCTGGGCGCTGAAAACTCTAGCTACGACTCTGGTTAAGTTCTCTTCCTTCTTTCCTCGGAGTAATACTCTTTTAAAATGCGTATTAGAGATAAATAAGTCTTAAATGCATATTAAAGACTTGAAACCGTTTTCCTTAAATGGCGGCTTTTAAGAGAAATAGTTTTTAAGTAATTTTATATATTACAAATAAAGGCTTTTGTAAGGGCTTTACCAATAAAGTTTTTATATGCTATTTATTATAGAATATGAAATAAATTATGCTCACAGAACACGCTTTCCATATAACGATACAAAAGTAGGATAGATCATTTATTTATCTGTATAAATAATTACTTTAGGCGAAATGTGCAAAATTATTGATAATTTAATTGAGACTTTTTTTTTTATTCGTGTAATGTGCTGTACTATTTTTAGGGGACAAATAGGCAGGGTGATACAAATATATCTGCAAAAAATTTAAGGGCAAGTTCAGGGAGCCAAAAAAGCATATTTTGCATTGGAATATGTGTGCGGAAATTTCAGGCCTGATGGTACATTGTTATAACATAGCAGATAAAAAAATTTTGCTGGCGTAAATCATCACTTCCCGTCCGAATCTCAACGGTGCACATTACTGTATGACTGCGGTGTTAGCCGACATACATTTTATCTATGAAGTTGCAGCTGAAACGGAACAGGTACTCGAAAAAGATACAGTGAACAATTCCCGAGCAGCTGCAACTTTTCCGTCCTCTCCCCCCCCCATTGATTAAATGCATACACTCAAGAGCCAAAACATTATGACCAGCCCTACATTTTGCGATGAAACGCGCCTGGATGACGTAGAAGGCACGTGATCAGGTGGAAGTGGTATTTAATTGCTGCTGGAGAGTCTGAAGAATCATTCTTTCACTTACTTCTGTGTGTGATGGGAAAGGCTGCGGATCTAAGCGACTTTGATAGAGGGCAGATTGTAATGGCTCTAAGGCTCGGAACAAGTATTTCCGAAACTGCACGACTCGTGGGTTGTTCGATCTACAGTTGTTAGTACGTATGAAAAGTGGATGAATGAAGGTGAAACCAGCAGTAGA